TGATCGGGGATCGGAGCCGATCAGATCGGGACATCTCTAATTCCACTCATTCAACCCAGAAATTCACTCCGCATTCAACAAGGAAATTCGAGAGATATTTACCAAGTTTGAGAGAACCTTACCGAGAGCAAAAACCCAGCTCTGAAGCTTTTTCTCTCTCACCCAGTGTTTTAAAGCTCAACACAGGGCAGAAAACCCAAGACACACCTCCTCAGGCTTATGTAACAAAAGTTCATGACCTCTAATGTACAGAACTAAAACATTATTCTCGGCTATGGCAAAAACACCTTTTTGGGGCCTCTTAGTTCTTTATCACTAAGTCAGGAGCCCCCCTCCTTGTGCACCGCTGTAGGAAGAGGGAAGAAACTGCCTTCTCTCTTATCAGTGACACCCATAAACCATTATAGGCCTTACACTCAATGGGGGATTGGGCTTTCTGTGCAGCTGCTCCTCACCTGTGGAATTCCCTCCCAGACTACCTGAGGACTCCACAGACCACTGACGCCTTTCAGAAAGGCCTAAAAACCTTTCTTTTAAAAAAAGATTAAACTTTTGATTATTTTGTTTGTTTCTTACGCCTCCTGTAGCACTTTGGGATTGCTTTTAGCAATGAAAGGTGCTTTACAAATACAATTTATTATTATTATTATTATTATGTCTTTTCCAATTCACTTTGTTTATACTGTAAATATAGAAAATCATCAAATATGATGCATTTTCATTGTGGGTTATACAAGAATATAATTGATTATACTTGATTATAATTAACTTTGGTTTTAAGTATTCAACATACTATGGAGATCTCAACACACCCACATCAAACATCTGTGCAAAACCTCCTACTACCACCTCAGGAACATTGCAAAACTCCTGTCAGATGCTGAACAACTGGCCCATACCTTCGTTTCCTCAAGGCTTGACTATTGTAACGCTCTCCTCATCGGGACTCCTAGCGGGAGCCTTCAGAAGCTCCAATACGTACAGAACAGTGCCGCTAGGATCCTGATGAGGGTGAGAAAGTACAACCACATCACACCCGTCCTTCATTCCCTCCAATGGCTTCCTGTCTCATTCAGGATTGAATACAAGATCTCACTGCTCGCCCATCAATGCATCCACGGGAATGCTCCTTCATACCTCAAAGAACTACTCACATCACAAACCTCCACACGCAACCTCCGTTCCACAACAAACCATCTGCTTCGCCCCCCCAGGACCAAACTCCGCACAATGGGGGATTGGGCTTTCTGTGCAGCTGCTCCTCACCTGTGGAATTCCCTCCCAGACTACCTGAGGACTCCACAGACCACTGACGCCTTTCAGAAAGGCCTAAAAACCTTTCTTTTAAAAAAAGATTAAACTTTTGATTATTTTGTTTGTTTCTTACGCCTCCTGTAGCACTTTGGGATTGCTTTTAGCAATGAAAGGTGCTTTACAAATACAATTTATTATTATTATTATTATTATGTCTTTTCCAATTCTCTCACATATGGTGTTGATGGGGACATATCTCTCTCATTCCATGGCCTGCATGCATGTACACTAGAGATGAACCAAACATGTATTTGCTTGCATAATATGTGAGCAGTACTTCCACATCTGTGTCATCAGACCTCACAATGATGCGGGAATATGACTCTGCAAGATGTATGTCATGGAGCACCATCCTTGTGTCTGTCTCCTCCTGATCACTGTACAGTGATGTCAAACTGCTGACTCCTGCTGTGCAGATGCTCTTCACCTCCTCCCCTTCGTCCAATCCTGAGTGTAGTCTCTGTGGGTCAGCAGTGACAATGTAGTTGCTCACAAACATGCACAGTGCAGTCTTGTTTCCACTACTCCTCAAGTACTTTCTAGTTTTAGTTTGGGACATTTGTTTTGCTTTAGGTTATAACACTTGTGTTATTCTTCAGAGCTGGGTCCTCATTACAGATCTGCACTTTTTTAAATGCACCTGCATCGACACACCCGTTCACAAAATCATACTGAGTGTTTGGCACATATTATATATATATATATATATATATAGAAAACAAGAAATTAAATGTGTGTTCATGGTATTTGACAGGTATGACGGCCCACAGTCAATCAAAGACCTGGAGAGGCAAAGGAGAGGTGCAAGTGATGGAAGGCCTACACATCCAGTTATCACTGGCAAAACAAATGTCCCAAACTACAGGAAGTACTTGAGGAGTAGTGGAAACAAGACTGCACTGTGCATGTTTGTGAGCAACTACATTGTCACTGCTGCCTCACAGAGACTACACTCAGGATTTGACGAAGGGGAGGATCCCTCCTCTGTTGCTCTCCATGAGGTTTCTCCCATTGTCCCCTTTAAACTGTGGGGTTTTTCCTTTTTTGGAAGTTTTTCCTTGTACGATGTGAGGGTCTAAGGACAGAGGGTGTCGTATTGTCATACTGATATTCTGTACAAACTGTGAAGTCCACTGAGACAAATGTAACATTTGTGATATTGGGCTATATAAATAAACATTTATTGATTGATTGATTGATTGAGGTGAAGAGCATCTGCACAGCAGGAGTCAGCAGTTTGACATCACTGTGATCAGGAGGAGACAGACACAAGGATGGTGCTCCATGCCATACATCTTACAGAGTCATATTCCCGCATCATTGTGAGGTCTGATGACACAGATGTGGAAGTACTGCTCATATATTATGCAAGCAAATACATGTTTGGTTCATCTCTAGTGTACATGCATGCAGGCCATGGAATGAGAGAGAGATATGTCCCCATCAACACCATATGTGAGAAAATTGGAAAAGACATGTCTAACTGTCTACCAGCATGTTGTGCACTCACTGGCTGTGGCACAACAAGTAGTTTGTACAGAATGGGAAAGACAATCAGCATCAGCAGGTCGTTTGTGACCCTGACCAGAGCTGTTTCAGTGCTGTGAGCGGAACGGAAACCGGACTGGAATTTCTCAAAGAGGCCGTTTAGTTGGAGATGGTCCTGAAGCTGGGCGGCAACTACATGTCTAACTGTCTACCAGCATGTCATGTACTCACTGGCTGTGGCACAACAAGTGGTTTGTACAGAATAGGAAAGACAACAGCATTCACCAAACTCAAGACCCATCTCAGCGAGCTCAAAGATCTGGCCCATTTTGGACTCTCTGCCAGCTTGGAAGAGTCTTTGCCAGTTGCAAGAGAATTTGCGCTTCTGCTATATGGAAAAAAGAAAAAGGAAATTGGACTGATGTGCACAAACTTGGATGAACTGAGGTTCATAATTGCATCAACAACAGATGCAGCCTCGGAAAATCTGCCGCCAACAGAGGATGCATTTCAACAACATGTAAAGAGCAATGTTTCAGACAGCGATATGGTGTCACAGCCCGAACCCATACCCTTGTTATGGAGTCCTATTGGCAAGGGGTGGATTGTCAGAGATGGGGCCATTCAACCAGTGCTATTTACAAAACTCCCAGCACCTACAGAAGTGAGAGACATTACTCACTTGTATTGCAAAGATGCAAAGTGTGGAGAGAGTGGAAAGTGCCAGTGCCTCTCTGTTGGCCTTCCCTGTACGGAGTTCTGCACCTGCTGTGCAGAATGTCAAAATGTGTCCCCTAACGTTTCTGAGGAACCTAACATTTAACATTATATTCTAGTATCTATATACTTGACCTCTCACATAATTATTTGATGAATTGTATACTGTACTTTGAATTAAGGTTCCAGTTTCAATAAAACCTGTACTATTTACACCTATGTTTTAGAGGCTTGCAATTTAGAACTAATACACTTTATTTTATTGGGTTACTCTTATTCTGACTATTTGGTGATGTAGTTCAGCCACCTGGTATTTCCCTCTCCAAATATAATGACCATCAGAGTGAGCATTCTTAACTTATAGGCTATTGTGCCACTTATCCCCCATTCGGAATTTGACTGTATCAGAGAAGAGGTAGGCCTATGTCTAAAGAAATCTCATTTGCAATAGAACTGTACCAGATATTTCCATACAACTACTGGTTAGTGTTCAATAGCACCCTAGACAATTCAGTAATGGTATATTGTTTAGGGATTTCTGTTTTCTGATAAATGAGAGAAAAGTGATGGAGTCCTATGTTCCTATCACCAAAAGTACAATTTCCGTCTAAACTAAAGCTAAGTTTACAGGACTATAATTCAGTATTTCTTTAGTTAAATAATTGTCTGACTATTTGGTGATGTAGGACAGCCACCTGGTTCATACCTCAGCAAATCTGAAGAGGAAAAGAGTGATCATTCTCAAGTTATGGGCTTTTTTTGTCACATTTCCCATATTCGGCCTGGTCTAATTTGGCTCTTTTTCAGTTCTAAAGAACAACAAAAAAAACATTTTTTCCCCCAAAATAAAATTTGACAACAATCAATTTAATTAATGGGAGACCCTAAAGATAAGAAAAATCATTGTTGTCATTTGTTCTACCTCGGGTAGGGGTATCTCGAAAACTAAAGCCTTTTTTGAGGACTTGCTGCTAGACTATAGTGTTAGCTGTTGGCCATCAATCTTTCGTTTATTTGTAAATACCATGTAGCATGACTTGCTTTCTGACATTTTGAATCCCCAGTTATATGACCACCTCTCCACTTTTTTAATCGCTCTAGCTATATTCTCCATTACGTATGGGGCATTTCTTCCCCTCATCCAAATAGCCCCATCATCTGCGTATAGAGCCGATTGGATGCATGTGTAAGCCATAGGTGTAAGCATGTAAATATATCATTAATCATGATGTTAAATAATATTGGACTGACTGCACTCCCTTGGGGAATACCATTTTCTATTTCAAAATAATTGGAAATATCTGCTCCAACCTTTACTCTAAATGTCCTGTCTGTTAAAAAGGCCCTTACCCAACTTGTCATTACTCCTTCATATTTCCACATTTTATTAGCGTTGATCACGTGGTCCCACAGGAAGTGTACGAAGTGTATGAGCCAATAGGCGGTGAGCTGATGATCCTGACGTTAGTCATTGGCTGGTTTAAAAGGAAGGCGATTTGAGCGCTAACGGAACTGCATATTCCATTTGTGTTGCTTTAGGAACGGACGTTTTCGGTAAGTGTTGTTTTTACACTTTTTACATGTTTAGGATCAACGTTTCCTCCGTAATTGCACAAATATCTGAACGTTTACTAATTCAACCGTAGTTAATAATGTGTTAATGTATTAATTAGAGTCAGCTGATAGTTTAATACGCGTTAGACGTTATGTTTAACTTGAGATCGCATGACAGAAAACATGACTCCTAAAATGATACTCGGTAATTGTATGTCAACTTAAATAATAACAGCAAAGTACAGCTAAACTGAGTTTGCTTTCCAAGTGTTGTTACTGTTTGTTCCATTGAAAATACAACCTACGCCATAAATTGTAACGTTAAGCTATCCGCTAGTTCAAAACAAGCTAATCGACATTGGTTAGAGCGCAGACTCTTGTACATGGGGACACTTTTATCAAAGAGTGGTCATGTTAACTGTTTTCTTCTTTAGGTGAGTTGTCGAATAACACATATTGACACTATGGCGGACAGCGACTCCGGTGATCGCTACGAGTTTGATGCCCCGTCGCACGTAGAGGACATGCTAATGTTAGCAGAGCAGAAGGCTGAGGGCGAGGACAAGTGGTTTGGTAAGTTTAATATCTACTATCTCTGCATCTGTCTGCTATTGATCTAACTGTGAACTGTAGGAATCGGGTGTATTGCCAAGTAGGTTTACACTTGCAAGGAATTCGCTTTGGTTTGTTATTGTGCATACAAAAACACAGTAAGGGGAATGTTGTTGTAAAAAAAAAAAGGAGCAAATATAAACTATTTAAAAATACACGTTTAAAAGAAATATAAGTATACAAACATTATGTACAATAAGAATATGGCAGTTTACTCTGAATAATGAAATGTGAAGTTCATTAGAACTTAAGTGGAAATGCTGTGCCCTTTTATTATAATGGGACAAAACTAATAGAAATGTGCAAACTATACTGAGCAATGTGAATGTTAACAGTATGAAGATGTACCAGATTTGCTGCCATGAGCGTTAATGATCACAATGTGTCTTTGGGGGGGGGGGGAGTTTTTTTTTTTTAAATGTATACAATGTGGTTTAACAGCAATATGCACAGGGTGTATTTGTAATATCTGTAATTCCTCCATAACAGTCGAGGAGGTGATTGCCTCTTTAGGACATCAGTAAATTAGCCGGTTCTTTCTTTTGCCACCACACAAGGTGAGGGAGGTTGATGACACCACAGATATTTTCCTTAAACATGTGGCCGAAGTGAAAAGCAGGTTCTCTCTCTGGTTAGATAATCATTTCAGACATAACGGCACATCACCACAACTTCTGGTGCAAGTTCAGTTACACCCCACTGATCCACTTCACCATGTCTGTCTGAAAGCCCTATTACAAGTTAGACTTTTAGCAGGAAATGACTAGCAATTAGAGGTATTTGTGATGAGTTTTAACATTTTAAATAAGCCCAAATGGTACAAAAATGATGACCCCATACTACAGTACAGATTGGGTTAACTGTTCTATGTTTAAATTAACCATCAAGTACCTGTTAAAGGAGACCCCCCTCTTGATCTTTGACTGTCTCTTATGTGCAGAACAACAGACTAGTGGGCCAGGTGGCCGCCTTGTTACTCCTCTGAGGACTGACAGAGCCTTCAGGAGCATCCATGACCTGGACCTGCCCCGCCCCCGAGCCATCATAGCCCCGCAGATCAAGGTGGACGACATCACAGGTTAGTTTTTATATGTCAATTTGCATTCACAACAGTTACAATGGCTTCCAATGGGTGCTCAGTCATAGCAATCAATGAGTCTATAAATAAGGAGAACATATTCTGCTCATTTTCAGGGTTATATTTGTATTTAGTGTCTCTACTGTGACATGCTTTAATGTTCAAAAAGGGAAAACTCCAAAAGGCATAATAGGGTACCCTTTCAAACTGAACTTGTGTCTAAATAGCCTGTAGATTTATGTTATCCAGTGAACACTTCAATAAGTTCTCCTTTTTTTTAATATTTCAGCTCCTTGTCCACCCCCATCTCCACCTGCTAACCTGGTCACGTCCTGGGCTGCTGGGTCTCCGGCTCGCACTGGTGCGCGCCCAAAGAGGACCTCTAATCTCCCCCCAGCACCGCCTCGCAGGTAAAGTCACGGTTATGGTCACTATTTTGCTACAACAAGGCTGCAACCCAGTATGTGGTACTGATTAATATAACCCTACCCATACAGCAGGGGTGTGTGTTGTATCGTTTGTTCTGGGGCTGCATGATTTGGGGGGGGAAACAAATTGGAAAGGTTTTGACTGATATTATGGCATAAGAAAATTATGTTTTTGCGGCATTATTCCCATTACTATTGAAAATCGTATTAACATGATTAGATTTATTTGAATGTTTCGATTAATTGTGCAACCTGCATGATGTCTGTGGCATCTTAGTTTGAAGCTATCACGGGAACCTTAGGAGTGCAGCTGGAAATATTAGGACTGGCAGGGTCCTGTAAAAAAAGAAAATGTTTCTATTGAGTTGCATTGTGGGAAATGCAGTATTTAGTTTTCTAGACACTTGCCTTTTACTTGAGATTAGTTGTGTGATTGAATACATTTCTAATTGATTTATTCATTTTAGGGTTTCAAAGCGTAAAGAGGCGTCCAGTGGTCCCGCTCCACCCCCAAAGAAGCACAAAAAGTAAGTGACATCTGACTTTTATTTCTCTCACTTTACCCCACAGCAGACTGATGTTCCAGTATTAACGAACACAATGTTCCCCATTAGAGACCCAGTCAAAGTCGTTCCCTTGTTAAACTTTTCTCCTTCACGTTTTCTTCTTTAATTCTTTGTTGTAGAACTCCTGAACCCCGAAAGTCCAGCAGTGTGCTCCGCCGGAGTAAGTGCCCGCAGAACAGCAGGACGGCGCCTAAGAGCCAGGCAGCAGCTTCAGCTACTTCAAACACAGAGTAGGTCTTCTATCGGGGAAAGCCTCCTTCTGCTGTTTCTGTCTTGTGATTGCATTATTCAAAGATGAGTTGTAGCCTCCGGCTTCTCGCCAAATTGTCATCAAAGGCAAAGGTAACGTTCCTACACATTGTTATATACCATGTCGGTAAGCCAAAGTGTGTAGCGTTTTTAAAGCTTTGAATGGGAAAGTTCCACTTTACATGAGGCTGAGATGGAAAGCAGGTTAAAGCTGAATTTTTGCTGATGACTGACGTGTTCCAAACAGGCCATCTAGCTCTGAAGACCAAGAGATGGAGCGCATCAAGACCCTGCAGAATGAAGTGGCTCTGCATCGGAAGCAGAACGAGGCCAGCTACAAAGCGGCTCTGGCTGGCAGTGAGTGGATTTACCAGACTTAACAAATGCTAATGTACTTGCTAACTGTTTGGTACCATTTAAATGGATCTGAAAGTTGTAAAGGGAAGCCTGGGACTCTTTTATTTCAGACCCACCACCAAAGAAGATGGTCCTGTCGGCGACGGTGCCCAAAGAGTTCCACTTCAACACAAACTCTCGTCACAAGGCGAGCACTTCATCCGGCGGCGCACAGAAGGAAGTGGACTTTATCAGCCAGCTGCGCAAACCCTCCTCCCCTGTGAGTACTTCCTGTGTTCTGAAACCTTTTTAAAGTTTTAGTGGCGCCTGAGGGGCTGCTTATGATTGACTTAAGACGGGTTAAATGTCTGGGGATCCTCTGTACAAACTGCTGCTTTAGTTAACCCTTCTGTTGTGTCCGGGTCAAATCTGACCGTTTCACTACTTTCATCTATCACAAATATTGTGTTTTAAATTTGATTGCTTCAAGGCCTTATGATATCCTACACAGTATTAATTTGAACATGTTCAATTGCTGCTGAACTTTGAGTGGTTTAGTGTTCTCAGTCATACATGAGCGCCATAGGAAATGAATGGGTAACCCTAGATTATGTTCATCAATCAGATAGTAGACACCCACAAATCAACAAAATGTTAATTTAGAAATACATTTCAGTGTCTATTCTTTGTATATTCTCTGCAGCTATCGTGTAAACCAGGGGTTCCCAACCTTTATTGTGCCAAGGACCGGCAGATACATTAAAAAACAATCGCGGACCGGTTGTCAATTTGAACTGATTTTAATATTTACTCACCACCAGCAGGTAGCAACAGAGGCTAATTGTATGTAACAGCCTGAACAAATACTAGAACAATATGCATCCAAAACATATTAACAAAGTTTAAAAAAGAACCGGTGTCGTTTTTTGGTTTTTCGGAAAACCAAAAAACCGACGTTATTCAGTTTTTAAACCAAAACGGGAAAACAGATAAATCAACGTTTTGGTTTTGTTTGTATGATTTACGGATAATCCAGTGAATGCTGGGGAAATGAGGAGAAGCCGCATTATGAACACTGGCATTTGTTTTCAGAAGATATTATGATGTTCGTTCCGGTGCACTCCGACAGCATTTAGCACTACATCGAGATTAAGATTAAACTAATTTATTTTCGGAACAGCCGCATATATGGAGTTAGCTATATGTGTGTAAATTACTCAGAACTCTTTTAGTTATCATGAACTAAATTCAGATCGCGTTCACACCGGAATAAGTCTCTGGGGGAGGATTAAGCAAATGAAGCCGCTGACGTCACTTCTTCTTCTGCTTTGGGTTTACTGGCAGGCAGCAAACAACTTCACGTCGTATACTGCCACCCGGAGTCCCCGGCCGGAAGTCCCCGGAGTTGGGGACTGGCTTCAGTAGAAGCTGCTGGGACTCCCAGCAGCTTCTACTGAAGACTTCAGAGTAAATCACCAGAACGCCGACACCTCCTCATCTCCACCGCTCCCATGTTTTCTTTTGTGTTGCCATAAGTTAGTCTCTCTGCGTTTGTGCGCTGGGCTAATGCTAATGCTAATAATGCTAACGCGAGGATAATAAAATTGTTGTAGTTTTACGGGGCGTGGTTTGCAATCCGCCCAGCCAATCAGACATAGGAACCTTTTTCTCCCACGAAAGTCCCTGCTCTCTAGCAGGGGGTGAAAGGTTCTCATGAACTAAGTTCTAGTTCCGGATTTTTTTTTGGTGAACGCACATTTTCGGAACTATACTGGGAAAAGTACTCTGGTGTGAAAGTGCCTAATGTTAAAATGTGCTAAATATATACACTGCAAAAACAAAAAAAGAGGAGTAAAAGTAGCTCACGACTTGTTTTTATTTTTTGAAAGTAGCTCATCCTAAAAAAGGTTGGAGACCCCTGCTCTAAAGGGTGTTCAATAGAATGTGGTGATTAATGATGTTAATGTAAGACCAGTTAATTGTTGACTTGTTAAATGTCTGCTCGTAAAGCGTGCTACTACAGTACTTTCACTCAAACTGCTTCTTTAGTGAAATATTGCTGGATAGAAACACATTTATAAAAACCTGGCTTCGTTCCGTTTAAAAATAAACAAAAGCATCCTGATTTTGTTGCATGGCCAAACAAATCGAAGGTCACGCCAGATGAATAATGCACCGTCTTCCCCTTTTATTTCTCCAGGCAAAGGCTCTGAAAGGCGCCACCGTGCCCAAACCCTTCAACCTGTCAACAGGCAACAAGAAGGAGGCAGAGGGGCCGGGGGCCCATGTGCCCATGGCCCAGCAGATCCAGCAGTTCCAGAATCGAACCCCCGATCGCTACCATCTGCGCAGTCGCAAGAGTATAAACAAAGGTGTGTTTGGAGCCAGATTGGTTCTAAAGGTGTGTGTTCTATGCAGAGGGGGTTGAAGGGCCACTTATGGCGCATTTCCACTACACGGTCGGCCTCGGCCACACTCGGTACGGCTCGGCCGCGTTGGGCCTTAACAGGGCCGACTCACTTCATGTTGCACTTCCATTACAGTTTAGGAACTGGGGTAGTTACTATAGTAACGCAGTGTAGGCGGAGCCGTGACGTCATCTTCATTGAGAACTCCAGAAACACAACACAGCCGTTAGCTGTTAGCACTCAGAGCTCACAGCTCCTTATATATGTTCAGAAACTCGACAAAAGTTAAACAAGTACACACCACAGACTGCCTGTGTCATGGTGAATACAGTCGCTGCTTTATTTATGTCTGTATAGGCCGTTGTTGTGAGTGTGGACGGTCGGAGCATATACTGCGTTAGCTTAGCCAATCTCCATCTAGAAAAACACGCATTTTAAAAGGTTTTTCGCCTGCCGTCTGTCTGCAGACTTGACAAAGCATTAATTCATGGTTTTTACTAACCGGTATCAGTATGTTGTTACTTCGGCATCATTTTGAAACGTGTATTACAATTAAATCACGGTCAAATATGTCCATCTTGTTGTAGTTCTAGCCCTCTTGCCAGCGCTCCTCTCTCTAGTTTAGCATACTCAGCCCGACTCAGCCCTGTTTGTTGGCCCCGATAGAACCACAATTTTCTAGGGCCAGAAAAGAGGTGAAAAAGTGGCCCCGCGCCGTGCCGCGCCGGAACTAGGCCTAGTGGAAGCACAACCAAAAAAGGGGACGGCACGACACGGCACGCTTAAAGCGAGCTCCGCGCTGCAGTGGAACTGCGCCATTACTGACATCCCGTGTTCTTCAGGACCCTCGGGGGTGAAGGGGGATAAGCTGAAACTCACCCAGCCACACACCCCTCACTTGATGACCCGCCGGAGGAACCGCCCCCCCGTCACCAAGAGCAGCGCTGAGCTGGAGGAGGAAGAGCTGGAGAAACAGCAGAAGTATGAACCCTCTTCTCTAGCCCATAGTCCTGTCAAAGAATCAGGTGTTAATACTTCCAGGGTTATTAAACTGTCTCTTTAATCAGGTTTAAAATCATCGCCTTGGAGCTGAACCGGAAGATCCTGGAGAGCGCAGAGTGCCTGAAGAGACCCCCAGTGAAGGAGTCCACAGTGCCTGAAGGCTTCCAGCTGCAGATTGACAAGAGGCTGCATGAGAGGCAGACCAAGAGGCCCCAGGAGGCCGAGGAGAAGCATCCCAGCTTCAGAGCCCAGCCGCTGCCCAGAAAGATCCTGGAGGGAGTCGTGGTGAGTCACAGTCCTTTAGCTTTGAGATTGTTTCCATGAGCATGTCACACCAACACTTTCACTCTGATGACAGGGTCTGCCAGAGAAGAAGGTTCTGCACCCGACTGTGCCAGAGTCTCCAGCCTTCATCCTGAAGAAGAGGGTCCGTATGGAGAAGGTGGAGGAGGTGAGGACACATCTGGTCTCTAACCCTTGGGCTGTCTTCCCATCAACTGTGCAACTTTGGTCCTACATAGTATACAGTATAAATAATCAGCCACATCTGTGTTGCATCTTTTTAAGCCAGCTTTATTCTGACTTGTTACCACAAGTTTTGCTCTTCTTTTTGGAAATGTATGGTTAATGTACCTAATTTACACAAAAATAAACCTGATTTCGGAGTTAAAAAAGGCCAAAACATTAAAGGTCCCATGTCATGGCCATTTCTACTGATCATAATTCCACTGTTGAGGTCTACTAGAATAGATTTACAATGTTCAATGTTCCAAACTCACATTGGTTTCTCATACAGCATCTCTGTATAGTATGTGTATTCACTCTCTGTCCTAAACGGCTTGTTGGAGCTCCTGCCCCCCCCCCTCCCTAGGAGCCCAGTGGCCGTCTGCGAGACACAGCAAAACCCAGCCCGAACACACACACACACACACACCCGCAGCCTGGCTGTGAGTTTGTGTGTGTGTGTTCTCACACACAAACTCACAGCCTCGCCGCGTCCCGCCGTCTCAGGGAGGAGAAATCAAAAAGATTGAGTGTGTGTGAGGAAGCATGACATGGGACCTTTAAATTATTTTACAAACAAAAACACTGCAGATGCAAAGTGAAAGTGATCATAATTATTTTTCTTTATTAAAATGTAGTATAGAACAAACCTTTATCCAGAAATAAGAACCTTTGGAAACGGGTCAAACGGGAAGTTTATACCAAGACTTCTCTTTCAACTTTCATCGTAACCAAACGTTTCTCTTTCTGCCAGGTAAAGCAGCCCTCGCCCATCAAGGCCCCCCCAGTGCCTCACTTTGGGCTCCCCTTCCAGCCCCAGCTGCAGGAGAACCACCACGTGGAGGTGTGTCCGTTCTCCTTCGAGGATCGGGACCGAGAGAGGAGGGCCCTGAAGGAAAAAAAGCTGGAAGAGAAGCGCAATGAAGAGGTGGGGGTCTGCTACCAGATCCTGTGTCCTCTGACCCCCAGAATGAAGACTCAACAGTTAAACCTCCTCCTCCTGTCTCCTTGAACCTTCCCAGGTGCCTCACTTCAAGGCCCAGCCGCTGCCAGACTTTGACGCCGTGGTCCTCCCCGAGAAGAAGAGGCTGGAGCCCACCAAGCCCGAGCCCTTCAAGCTGCTGCTGGACGAGCGGGGGGCCGTGAAGAGCAGTCGCTCAGAGCAGATGGTACCATCACTTCCACATTTTCATCCTCAATCATGACCATCTTTTACTTGAAATTTAAGTCAGATTTACAACTTTTTTTTGTTCTTCTTGTAGGCCAAAGAGGAGCAAAAGCGTGAGGAGGCTGCAGTATTCAAAGCCAGGCCCAACACTGTCACTCATAAAGAGCCTTTCCAGCCTAAAATTGGGCCGCGGGCTCCAGTGGGTAAGTCTAAACACCCCTACACTCAGGATGTAGAAATCTAAGCCTGCCATTGGCTGCATATCTCTTCTGGAAGCAGAATGATGTGGAGTCAGTCGCTCACGAAATGTGACACTGAACTGAATCTAAACGGGTTCTGCACTCACATGATGCTCAATAAAAGGTCTCTTGCGCTGGTGTTGCCGTTGTGTTCCTAAACAGAGAGCGGTGCTGCCAGACAAGGCTCAAGATTGTCGGATGGCTGCATGTAGGGGCGCAAGCTAGCATGATCTAACCATAGAAATAAAACTGCACTGATTTCACCGCAAGGCTCTGCGTAGAATGCGAACACACATTATATAACCGGAACGCTCCAGAACATTAGCTAGGCTGTAGATTGGCTTATTATTTATTATTCACCAACTTGACCTGTTTCTTCTATATTAGCAGTTTTGAACCGCAGTATACACCAATTTAATGTTATATCGGGTATAATCAATATATACTCAAGTTGTCATATCAGACTATCATCAGATAGACCTGTAAAAAAGGTACCCCCATAATATATGGCCTGGTACCCCCTCTAATAATAACATTGCCTTAAAAGAATTCTGGATACTTTGAAGGCCTTTTATTTCATAATTGTGTTTTGGTAACCGTCATTGTGACATGTGATGATGAATATGGAGAACAAAACCAATATTGAAAAGCTAAGAGTCTCCTCTTTACAACGGTGTCTACAAGTCCAAATGTTGGGGGGGGTAGATGTAACTGATTTTGATAAAGCAGGTCATATAACCCTCCTTGAGAGTACTCTGAAGTATGAAGCTGTTCCGGTTCTCATCATGTCACTCATGATTCTTCTTCCAGTCGTGGAGGCCTTTGCGCTGTCGACTGGGAGGCGGGCCCACGAGCGCCAGGAGTTTGAGCGTCTGGCCAATGAGAAGGAGGCTCTCAGGATGCTGATGGAGGAGCAGCAGAGACAAGAGGTGGAGCAGAGGGAGAAGGACGACATCACCAAGATGCGGAATGACCAGGTCCCTGCAAAATGATTATACTATTTGTTTGTTCTGATATTTTCAACATAATTCACTCAGTCTTTTTTTGCACATCTCCAACTTGTCTTTTCCATGATATGTACAACATACTATGTGTTTTTTGTGCATACTCCTTGCATATTATACTACGTTGTTTTTTGACCTGCTATATCAAAAAAAAAATGTTCTGATATTTTTGAAATACTGTACTTTTGACCAAAATCCAGCACTGATTTACATGTGGGATTCACTGACTCATACCTGGTGTTCTCTTCCTGTAGGTTCACGCTGCTCAGCCCATCAGACACTACAAACCTGTGGCCGTGAAGAAGAGTGAAATGCCCCTCACCATCCCCCACTCCCCAAACTTCTCTGACCGCTTCCGCCTGTGATCAGGACTCGCTCTTTATTTAACCACTTCATAAATTGTTTAAACTTTCCCATTAGTGTAGAACGCTGGCTTTAATGGATGTCTTTGAGATGCCAGGAGCTGTCTTTACTGTCTTTGTATCTGTTTAGCTTTAGCCACCTGCTGTACATTAACACTTTTCTATCAAAGTGCTTTGCAATGAGGTTTCATGTCTTACCCACACTGTCATTCCAAGCTGAATATTCTATCCTTTTGCTTATTTTATATACTGCTTTTATTCAATAAAGTTTATGAAAAGTAGCCAGTGGTTATTTGAAATTCTAATAACTTCAGTGTTTCACTTGGAAATCCAGACTTTGCAATGGTTAAAATGTTTATTGAGTTTATTTTTATAAAACGTTCAAACAGTTTGTTCGTGGTGATTCAGCCAGGAGAATATGCAAGGATACAGAAAAGGCATTCTGTTGGGGGGCCAAGAAGGCTTTAGTTTGACTTTTTCTGGTTATTTTCATTCTTTGCATTCATTTTTTGAGTTTTGTGCACCACAGACTTTTTAATTCGTATATAAACTGGCATGAAGGTATAATATGACTGAATTTTAAACTTAACATTAAAAGGAAACTACAAAAGACATCAACAGATTTGAAAGTTCTGTCAAAGATGGTGTTGCAGAACCCATATGGAAATAGCCTGCTGACTCTCAAGGCTTGAGCACCTTTTCAGTGATATGACCATGTCACATTTAACAATAGTTTGGAGTCAGATGAAAGTACTTTTAGAATGTAATGTCTTGATGCTGTTACAGCTAACCACACTTATTTTTCTCAGGATTTGGTGGAGACTAACAACAATGGCAATAATAACAAATGCTAATTGTATGATGCTTCAAATATAGATGCAGTCACAGGACCCTAGTTGTTTTGCAACATCGCCACCTAGCGGTAGACATTGTAATGCTTGTTATTAACCATCTTAAAAAGCATGAAAATCGCAAAAGTAGACATTTACATCGCAGGAAATGACGACAGAACAGCTAAAAAAAGACATCTCACACCGTGTCAAATGTTGGTTATTTTGGGGAGGTCGAGATAAATCATATTGTTTGGTGGATGCGGTTTGAACCAGAGTAGCAGCATGGAGGTCGGATCGTCACAAAAATAAAGAAATAAGTGGTCCGAAAAAGGTTAATGAAAAAAAAAATACACATAGCCTAACCTTCCTCAGGAAGTGTGTTTGTACCGGGGACAGGAGACACCCCCCTTGATGAGAAACTGGAAATGATCGAGGAATCCCTCCGGAGTGGAGTCATGACGACTGGATCTGAATTATTTTGTTGTATTTGGTGGTTTGTGTTCCAGCTGTCGATCAGCAACTATATATCCATAATCCACCAGTTAAAGGAAATACAACTAATGTGTTGTGTTATATTAGCTGTACAATTTACCACATATGGTGTTATTAGTTTCCATACCTCCTGTGTTTTACGAGCGACTTATCAAGTAGGCTATTGGCGAACGGCATAAAACATGATTAAACATGATAGTATATAAAACCATGCTCGTATCTATACAACCAATAGAAATGCAAAACGGCGTCAGTTTAAAGTAATTCTGTCCTGTTTACCGCATAATTTATGAGAATACATTTCTTAACAAGAGAACATAATCGAGGGGTGATCAATAACATTTCCGTATTTATTTATTTCTCCAAGTTATGTTTTTGTGTGCACTGAGGAGTCTCAAACAGGCGTTTGTTAAATCATTTTAAGATTGGCTTTAATCAATTTGTGGTGGTGGCGAAGTCGATAGGGACTTGGCTTGGCAACTGGAAGGTCACCAGTTCGAGTCCCGGCAAGACCAAGTGCTACCGAGGTGTCCCTGAGCAAGGCACCGTTCCCTACACTGCTCCCCGGGCGACGGCAGCACACTGCTCCTAGGATGGGTCAAATGCAGAGGAACAATTTCGTTACATAGTACCTGTACTGTGAAATGACAATAAGAGAAATAAAAAAATGTGTGAAAATGAATTCTTCATATATGTTAAATGAGAGGTATATTATATTTATGGTATTTTATAAGAGAAATAAAAAAATGTGTGAAAATGAATTCTTAATATATGTTAAATGAGAGGTAATATTATATTTATGGTATTATTTCCACATATTTCTCTCCATTCTTCCTTCTGCCAACGGTGTCGCAGTTTCTCGTCTCTCCCGTTGTTGTTTGCGTGGAGGACCGCACATTTTCCCGTCAAGTTAGTTTTTATAAATCGCAAACAGTGCGTAGAAACTGGCGTACGCCATCTTTTGTGCGTACGCACCGTTTATAAATGAGGCCCCTGGTCTGAGACTGGCTGACTTGATACACCTGTAGCAATACAGGAATTTTAACAGTTGTATCAATGTCAAATTTGTCGTTTTTAGCTTTTCAAAAATGTGGCTTTGCCCTGAATTACAGTATAAGCCACATAGCAAACATGAAACATCCCCATCTCAAGCCAAAGCAGATACGTTTTAGAGAAGGCAAATGTACATATGCTGATGTGCAGGTGAAGCTGAAAGGCCTTCATCACCAGTCTGTCTGAGTCTACAAAAACACAAGTTGTCATGAGAATGATACAAAAATATTTTTCTAAGATACGTTTTTCTAAGTAGGCTAAGGCTGTAGCCACACAAGGACGATAATGCAAACGGACCGCAATCGTTATCAAAAAAGTCTTCCGTCCACACGCAACAGGCACCAGAAACGTGTCCGTTCACACGAGACCGCTCGAAAGCGCTGGAGACGCTGTAGTACATATGCCAGGCCTGTAAGTGGCGCTGTAGTCCTGCCACAAAAGCAGCGAAGAAGACTTCCCGCGCATGGTTGCCATGGTTGCCCTTCTGTTTATTCTCCGCTGTGGACGCTCTGGCTCTCCCTCCCCGAGGCAAGCGTTTGCTCCTGCTGTAGATCTCTCCGGTTAGTCCACCAGCAGATGAAAAAAACCCACCTCTCCGCCTCTTCCAAGGGACGAGGGGACCGTGCAGCAGAGTTTCAGTTCGATTTTTTTTCGCCGGTCAACATGTCCGTTAAAGTTGAAATCTTCCGGACAAAATTATAAAAGTGCCGGTCAGAGGTCTTCTTTGTTATTTATTGAGCTTTAAAACAAATGAATAACGACTCTATATAATAATATAAGAATAATAAACGGAGCCTCTCTTTTCCTCCCCCTCTTCTGACAGCCCAGCAGCTGATCTCTGAGCAGGAGAGGTGCTTCAACGTTATCAGGAAATGATCGTATAGGCGTAAACACAGAGCCGTTTGCCCCCCCAGAGCGTTTCGTTTGCAGATCTACCCACCTTGGGACCCTTTATTGTTATCGTTATCGTTTTCTGCGTTTCCATGTAGGCCTCGTGTGGCCGAACCGTCTATCTGATAGTGAACTGTAGCAGATACGACTGTTATCGTCCTCGTGTGGCCAGGGCTTAAGTGATATGTTACTCAACCCAGATGACTAAAATGAAATAATGACTATTGCACTTCTACTCATATAATTGACAAGTTTAAACTTTTGTTTCAATGTCTGGCAATTAACCACAATGTCATTGATATTATCAATGCAATCAAATAAGTGCTTAGCCTACTAAAGATAAATCTGGAACTATCAGGATTTTACATACCAGTGTGTACATCTGCTGGAGGCTCCTGCTGTAGGCCTACATCCTTAACGTTGCCAGTGTCAAGCTGGCTCTCATCCTCTGACTGACTAAAAGTCCCATGAAATAAATACATGTGTATTTATTTATATTTATATATATTTATTGCCTCATTTATTTATTTCAGAATTTATTTCATAGGCATATTTATTTATATATGTATTTATTTAATAATTTATGTATTTATTTTGACCTTTATTTTGACCTTTATTTAACGAGGATAGGTCTCATTGAGATTAAAAATCTCTTTTTCAAGAGAGTCCTGGCCCAAGAATGGTAACAGCACAGTTACAGACAATTTTACAGTTACACACAATCACAACACAGTCATACACCAAGTTTAGCCAAAGCATTTACAGACACAGCGGCCTGCATCAAGGTCAGTTTTGGCGCGTTTCCACTACAGCGCGGAGCACGGTTTAAGAGGGCTGTGACGTCAGCGGCCCGTCTTTGGTTGCGTTTCCACTTGGCCTAGTACCGGCCGGCGGGTCCTAATTCACAGTTTTTCTGGCCTCATAAAATTGTGGGTCTAGGGCCAGAGACAACGAGGCTGAGTCGGGCTGAGTATGCTAAACTAGAGAGAGCATCGCTGGCAAGGGGGCTACAACTACAACAAGATGGACATATTTGACCGTGATTTAATTGTAATACACGTTTCAAAATGATGCCGAAGTAACAACATACTGATACCGGTTAGTAAAAACCATGAATTAATGCTTTGACAAGTCTGCAGACAGACGGCAGGCGAAAAGCCTTTTAAAATGCGTGTTTTCTAAATGGAGATCGGCTAAGCTAACGCAGTATATGCTCCGACCGTCCACACTCACAACAACGGCCTATACAGACATAAATAAAGCAGCGACTGTATTCGCCATGACACAGGCAGTCTGTGGTTTGTACTTGTTTCACTTTTGTCTAGTTTCTGAACAGATATGAGGAGCTGTGAGCTCTGATTGCTAACAGCTAACGGCTGTGTTGTTTTTCTGGGGTTCTCATTGAAGATGACGTCACGGCTCCGCCTACACTGCGTTACTATAGATACTACCCCAGTTCCTAAACTGTAATGGAAATGCGCCATAAAGTGAGCCAGTCCTAACGAGGCCTAGCCATACCGAGCGGGGCCGAGCGAGGCCGTGTAGTGGAAACGCGCAATTTGAGTGTGTTTAATGAGACCAGCTCTCTGAGTTTCAGCTCAGTTTGAAGCAGGTTCCAAGCTTGAGGGGCTCCGTAACTGAACGCCTTTTTCCCCAGTTCAGTACGGACCTTTGGCACAGTTAAAAGGAAACATTTATATTTATTTAATTTTGGCTTAAACGGCGTTCCATACATCCCAAGTCTCTTATTTGTAATTTCCTCGTTTGAACAAGAGGTTGTTCTGGTCATCATCCCTTGTTTTCATTATTGATAGGGTTGTTTCCATCTGCATTCACTGATATCCAGAATTTCCTATTCATAATTTAATAATCCATGATACAATTATGGTGTTTTTTGAACACTGACAAGGCTTAATTATTTGTAATGTATAACTTCTTACAGAAATATTGTTATTCAGATGTATTTTCACTCATTTTTAAAAGGATGATAAATCATTCGAAGGGCAGTATAAAACTTAAGAGTTAATCACTTGAATTGATTGTGTTATACTTATGTGTCTTCACTCCTTAAAATGCACTGATGTTAAGATGCATCAGATCAGTGGATCCGCTGCAGCGTCCAATCAGTGACGGATACACAGTAAGGGGGCGTGTCGTCCCGCAGCGTCCAATCAGTGACGGATACACAGTAAGGGGGCGTGCCGTCCCGCAGCGTCCAATCAGTGACGGATACACAGTAAGGGGGCGTGTGGTGGTTCCTCGACTATCGCCTTCCAGAGATCGCTCCTACAAAGTACAAAAGACAATTACAATTCATATTTATAAAGAAAGAAACAGAAGGGAGGAAATCACGATCGCTAGACTCAGAATAAATCACACGGCTTTGAATGGTACGCTGTATATCATGGGGAAAAGTGACAGTGACAAGTGGGAACTGTGGAGTAAAAGAAGATGTAGAACACATCTTGTTACATTGTAACATCTATAAAGCTGAAAGAGAAAAACTAAAGGCTAAAGTTTTAGAGGCAGAGAGGGAATGGAGTGTGGTTGGTGTTTTGGGAACAAAAGGAGAGGGAGTAAGAGCTACCAGAAAGGCACTGTTTACATTCTTGAGTGAAACTGGGGTAGGAAAAATAATTTAACATTAGGTCAGGAAAGAACATAGATTTTTATTTTTGTTTTATTTATTTCATGTTTTTTGTTGATTTATTTAGATTCATTTTGATTAGATCATAGGTTAAAGAGTTGGTATGATATGATGATTCATACTCATGTACAGTAGGTGGCGGTATGCACCTTTTAAGTTGTTTGCAATCCGCCAAATACGAAGAGAAGAAGAAGAAGAAGAAGAGATCGCTCCTCGCTTCTCGAATAAGACACTTGGGATGCGGCTTAAGACCCAGGGAAAGACGCGAGTTAGGTAAACGTGGATGCAAAGACTTGAGATGCAGCTTTGGGATGCAGCTCATGATACAGCTATGGAGCATTCCTTTGTAAACATGGGCTGTTCTAACTCCGCCAACTGATTGGACGGCCGACTTGTCTGTCAAACTGGCTCACGAGGCCTCGCGCACTCGGCCCATTTTCTCATTCGCCACCGGAAGCTGCTGACAGCTGTGAGTACCAACAAAAGCCATTCACGTTGTACGTTCATTTTAATACTTTAATAATTAAAATGCTTTAGGAGTGCTGCCCTGCCCTCTCATTTATTTCCGATGTTTACTCCTGCTGGCTTCACAAATCTTCCCAACCAAAGCCTTAAATAAAAAATGCCATTGATTATTAAGTGTTCATCTTCTCAATGTGTTGTTCCTTCCATTTTAAACTTGTGTACGCTGAATATTTTTGAAATGTATAGTAGCATTTTAAAATGATCGAATTCTTGCTGTTGAGTTTTGCAAATAACAGTCAGCACATGCACTAAACAGTTTTAACCTTTGACCTATAGATACTATCACCTTTGAGCCTGGCTGTTAACCAGCTAGCATTATTAAGAGCAGTTGTACAACATTATAAAATGTTTTGTGATTTGTTTACAGTTGCACTTGTTCATGAATACATTGTTTATGAATATTTTTTTTTACAATTTGATAGATTTTTTTATTTCCTCAGGGCTGGTGCGATGGACAGAGTGGAGACAGAGCAGAGGGATGAACCACAGACAGACTTCATCTACTGTCACAGAGCCGTCACAGAGGTCCTGAAGTTTGGCTCCTGTCAGTTCAACTCTGGGCACAAAGTGCTCTTTCTCATCATTCCAGGTCAGTTTGACTAATATACTGTATTCATTAACTTAAATACAATATTAAGAAAGACAGGTCTGGAGGTAGAGTGGCTGGCTTCTGTTGTGTAAGTGCTTAATGTTCCCCAAGGCTAGACACGCTATTAAAGGTAGGGTAGGTTGAGAAACCGGCTCGAGATACACTTTTTGTTATATTCCATGGAATGCTCTTAACATCCCGATGGCAATGAATATCTTAAAGTGGACCTATCATGCTATATTTAAATGATATATTGTAGGGCCATACCTATATAAGGTATATTTATACATTTCTGTTTTCAAAATACCAAACAGATCATGCATTTTAGCCATGCCTCATTTCGCTCTATGTGCTGTTTGCTGTCTTCGGGGCTGATTTTGTGAGCTGCAGCTGACCACGCCCCCCTGCAGGAGAGGGGAGCCGTGCTCTGATCAAGTCAAGAGGGGGGAGAAAAAAAGATCTCCGTCCTCCGTGTTTTATTATATTATTATAGGCCTATAGAGTCGTTATTCATTTGTTTTAAAGCTCAATAAATAACAAAGAAGACCTTTGACCGGCACTTTTCTAATTTTGTCCGGAAGATTTAAACTTTAACGGACATCTTGACCGGCAGAAGAAACTGAAACTGAAACTCTGCCGCACGGTCCCCTCGTTCCTTGGAAGAGGCGGAGAGGTGGGTGTTTGTCATCTGCTGGTGGACTAACCGGAGAGAATTACAGTGCTTGCCTCGACGGGGAGGGATTGCATTGAATTAAAGCAGCAGGAGCAAACGCTTGCCTCGGGGAGGGAGAAAAAAAGCCACAGCGGAGAATAAACAGAAGGGTAACCATGGTAACTATGCGCGGGAAGTCTTCTTCGCTGCTTTTGTGGCAGACTACAGCGCCACTTACAGGCCTGGCATATGTACTACAGCGTCTCCAGCGCTTTCGAGCGGCAATGGCCGGCCGTGGCCCAACCCCACATTCCCCTGATAGGTGGAGAGTTGGCCCAATAGCCGTAGCGCCACTTCTGTGACGACATAGAAGTGTTCAAATCTGGATCAGTTTGTATCAGATCCGTTGCAGCCCCTTTTTTAGAGATTTGGGTATGGAGGAAAATAGAGAGGGTTGTGTTTTCTGACACTTGGTGAGTTCCCTGGAACACCGGGGACACATATTCATGTATAAAAGACGTACACAAGTGCATTTTGCATGATAGGTCCCCTTTAAGTGCTTTGACAAAAAATCCATACAAAAATGTCATCTGTGGAAGCCGTAATACTGTAAAAAGTACGACCAATCATTTTAGGGTTAAATAACTGGATAGCCTACCTGCCTGTCAGCCTTCCATCTGTGCACAAACTTATCTCGTGCCCTCATTGGTCACGTGCGCGTTCGTGTGTGTTGGAGGAGGGGCTCTGTAAGGAAGTGGCAGATTTTCTCCGGTTGTGTATTTTCAAATTCTAGCGATCTCGAGCCGGTTTCTCAAACTTACCTACCCTACCTTTAACTGCTATATAGATGCACTCCATTTGCCATGTGTATGGTTCATACTTTAACCAATAAACAAAAAAAGAGCACAAACACCAGCAGAATACATGTGTCAACTGGTCTGGGCAAATGAGACCGGGTGGGCAGTAGCTGACTTTGTAGGGACTTGGCTTGGGAACTGAATAGTCGCCAGTTCAAGTCCTGAAACAACAAGTACAGAGTGTGGACTGGACTAGTAGCTGGAGAGTTGCCAGTATGCCTCCTGGCTGGGTAATGCATTGGCATCTTTGAGCAAGGCCTCAACTGGTTCAAGACACGATGGCAGCCCCCTTGCTCTGACACCTCTACATTTATGAATTTGTATTGGTTCATTACATTTTAACTCTGGGATTAATAAGGTATGTCTATATACATGTTATTATGGTAACTTTATTTCATAACCACCTAAATTGCGTAAAGTAAAATGCATTTTACTGTAAATTTCTTTCTTGATGTAAAGTTTTTCGAAAGCTTAAGGTTTCATAGTTTGAGTTATTAAAAGTTTTCATGATGTTAAATTGCACTTTGCAATGAAGAAATATGATCTTCTGCTGTCTTGTATTCAGGTAACCCAGGTGTAGTGGGCTTCTACAAAACCTTCATGCGGACCCTCCACAGGAAGTTAGGATACCACCACCCAGTGTGGGCAGTGAGCCATGCCGGCCACTGTGTACCTCCAGACTCCATGGACATGGTAGAAGGTACAGATTACTCTTACATTCTTACGTTCTCGAATCTGATTGGTCAGTTTGGACAGTCAGTGGTCTGCTCTTTCTCTATAGCAGACGGTTGCTAAGGAGGAAGCTGTGATCAAGGGACTAAGTGCAGTCATATCAATCCTCAGAAAGAAGTCCGGTCAATTAACGTCAGTGGTGGCTAAAACAATTATTTGTTTTACTCTGTCAGAAAACAGTGGAATACTTTTTCAATATTCATTCTTATATTTCTAGAGCACACAACTTTGAATTAATGATGGCTGAACTGTCCTCAGTCAAGAAAAAAAGGGAGCAAGAGAAGGAAAGAGGTTAAAAGACAGAGAGCTAGAGCAGGGGTTCCCAACCCCCGGGCTGCGGACCGGTACCGGGCCGCGGAGGTGTTACTGCCGGGCCGCGAAATAGCTGTGAGTTTATCGTAATATTTGCAGAATTATAAATATATAAAAATATTTTATCATAATATTTTTCGTGATAATTTTTGCACCTATGCCACCAGTCATATTATTTCATCCAGTAGCCTAGTTAAACTTTCACCAGAAAACAGTTGAAAATGGCTTTTATGATGTTCTGAGGGATTCGGCGGCTCAGCCTAAGGTCTCAGCCTCTTGTGCGCACGAGAAAGTTACCGGTGCGCCAAGTAGGAAGAGGAGCGCACAGGAGACAACCGTTTGATTGCAGACTGTTATGTTTATGTGGGGAAATGGTGGTGCATACATTATTTGAGATATATTTCAAACTCAGACTTCATTTTAAGGACATGTCGGCCAGGGGTGTAGAGGGAGCTATTTGTTTAAGCACCGGATTGGCAAAACAGGAGAGTAAACCAGTCTGCCTTGATCTATGAATTAATGTCCGGGACTCTCACGATCTGCTGCCCGCAGCTGTTTTATAGAAGGAAACCCTCCTTCATGAAATGGCTGCAGCATCAGGAGGCAGCGGGACGTATACTCCGCCTCTGAGAAGAGCAGCACCAGCGCGCCGAGAGCTGTGCCTTTTTACGCACCGCCTTCACTGTACCTCACACACACACACACACACACACACACACACACACACACACACACACACACACACACACACACACACACACACACACACACACACACACACACACACACACACACACACACACACACACACACACACACACACACACACACACACACGACCGGACATCTCCTTCATAATGCGCCTTCTGGATTATCCGTAAATCATACAAACAAAACCAAAACGTTGATTTATCTGTTTTCCAGTTTTGGTTTAAAAACTGAATAACGTCGGTTTTTTGGTTTTTCCGTTGTTATTATGTTTTGGATGCATATTGTTCTAGTATTTCTTCAGGCTGTTACATACAATTAGTCTCTGTTGCTACCTGCTGGTGAGTAAATATTAAAATCAGTTAAAATTGACAACCGGTCCGCGTTTTTTTTTAATGTATCTGCCTGTCCTTGGCACAATAAAGGTTGGGAACCCCGGAGCTAGAGGACTGAGAAATCAGCAGAAGAAGACAGACAGGAAGTAAACACTTGAGGGAACAGCGGCAGAAGATAGACAGGAAGCAAAAAAAAACGTATAGAGCAACAGGAACGATTCTGAGATAAACAAAGACATGTTACGACTTTTTGTATACAGATGCCTCCTCAGCAGCTGAGTATGATGTGTTTGGTCTGGACGGGCAGATTGAACACAAGCTGGCCTTCCTCAGGAGACATGTTCCCCGAGACACCCGCCTGGTCCTGCTGGGACACTCCATTGGCTGCTACATTATCCTGGACATGATGAAAAGGAATCCTGAACTCAATGTTAGTTACAATAGGGATGCATTGGCATTGGCCCTGTTAGTCCTTTTTATTTTTTATTTAAATATGAACGAAAAAATCTGAAGGTAATTGGTAATTTTGAAGGTTTAGAACACTGACTGAGAACGATCTGCCCTAACTTTGAAGTAAATCACGGTGCGCCTCGTCTCTATGACTTATAAAATAACAAAATAACAAGGCCCTTTGTTTACAAATAATTTAATGTCAAATGTATTTCTCATTGAATAATTGAAGCTTGTTGTCTGCTACTCTACAAAAAACACAAGGGACTTTATTTTAGATTTTATGGGAAAAACAATGTTATTCACCCATTGCAGCCAACTAGTCAAAGCCATGGATCAGTTAAAGAAACTTCAAGCTGGGGTTTGGGTTTCCATGACAACAGGACTCTGTTGGCTTTGCTTATCGTTATAGTTAAAGGTAGGGTAGGTAAGTTTGAGAAACCGGCTCGAGATACACTTTTTGATATATTCCATGGAATGCTCTTAACATCCCGATAGCAATGAATATCTTAAGTGCTTTGACAAAAAATCCATCTGTGGAAGCCGTAATACTGTAAAAAGTACAACCAATCATCTGAGCCGGCCCGGCTAAAATAACTGGATGGCCTACCTGCCTGTCAGCCTTCCATCTGTGCACAAACTCATCTCGTGCCCTCATTGGTCATGTGCGCGTTCGTGTGTGTTGGAGGAGGGGCTCTATAATGCTGCGTTCACACCGGACGCGATGTGAATATTCGCTTCGCTCTAATCACTCCTATCGCATCGCTCTAAACGCTGGAGTTTCACCGTGGCTGCCAGCTGTGTTTACTCGCATCATTCAAACAAGACGCGCTGGCTCGGGAGCTACAACTACAACAAAATGAACATATTTTACCGTGATTAAATTGTAATACACGTTTCTAAATGATGCCGAAGTAACAACATACTGATACCAGTTAGTAAAAACCATGAATTAATGCTTTGACAAATCTGCAGACAAGACGGCAGGCGAAAAACCTTTTAAAATGCATGTTTTCTGAATGAAGATCGGGTCGACCAGGCTAAGCTAACGTTGTATATGCTCATTCCACACTCATAACAACGGCCTACAGACATACATAAACCAGCGACTGTATTCGCCATGACACAGACAGTCTGTGGTTTGTACTTGTTTAACTTTTGTCTAGTTTCTGAACAGATATGAGGAGCTGTGAGCTCTGTGTGCTAACTGCTAACAGCTAACGGCTGATGTTGTGTGGTTGAACGTCAGTGACGGCAGGCTGAGATCCTCACCGCTGATTGGCTTCCGCGAGAACGCGGCACGTGAATTTGACGCTCGAGTTGAAAAAATTGAACTCTCGCGTTTAACGCGGCACCGTTCAATCGCCTCAATCGCGTGAGTCGCGCCGCGTCCACCGCTTCATGCGCGCCGTCGGAGCGAATTCGCGTCTGTCCGCGTCTCTGCATTGACTTTACATGTAATCGCGCCGCCCCCAAACATCGCATCGCGTCCGGTGTGAACGCAGCATAAGGAAGTGGCAGATTTTCTCCGGTTGTGTATTTTCAAATTCTAGCGATCTCGAGCCGGTTTCTCAAACTTACCTACCCTACCTTTAAGACAAGCCAATTAAAGACAGAATTAAATCCAAGTTAGTGCCGGTTGCTAGACAGAGGAAAAAAGAGCTAGACTAACTAGACTTCATAAATGAAGTAAGAATAGAGTCAGAATGAGGTCTGCAAAAACATCTGTCCCTTTTTCTACACACAGACACACACGCTCAGTTTGACCTTGTTTTTGTACAACACACACACACACATCTGCTGCATAAAATGGGCTGACACTATGTACACCCTAGCTATTATATTATTTGTACTGATTCAATTGATTATATACAATATACAGGGATTTTCCATATGTTTATATCTCTGTCCTTCTTTAACCTCAAATTATTTGTCTATTTTTATGTCCTGTTGTGCTCTTTGTAAGCGCTTTGTTTTTTGATGCAGATTCTTAAGTCCATCATGCTGTTTCCCACCATCGAGCGCATGGCTCAGACTCCTCAGGGGAAGGTCATGACCCCTGTGCTGTGTGGACTGCGTTACGTGGCCTACCTGCCTCTCTTCCTGCTCTCTCTGCTTCCTGAAGCCCTCAAAGCAGGCCTGATCCGACTGGCGTTAGGCGGCATCTGCTCTCTGGACCACACTGTAGTACAACCGACTGTAGGTCTACTCAGTGGAGACTGTGCTGGTTTGTTACAATCGCTCTTTTACTTTCATGATGCTCATAATGTCCATTCTTTGTTGAACATGTTACCGCCTAAGTTTGATTTTTTCAACTTTCAAACACAAAAGCCATGTCAAACACACTTTGCGTAGGATTCACGTGAAAAGATGGCGTACGTAGGAACAAAGGAAGTGCTTACGCATTAAAACACTGCACACGCACGTCCTACGCCGGTTTCCCTTTATGAATCACAATCAACCACAAATGAGGTGCAACTTTTGTGGGCTCCACGTAACGCCCATATTTGCCTATAAATAGTCAAAGAAACTCCCCGTATTAATATTAATTTCCACTGACTGAATGAAGACGAAAGCGTGATATCTTAGTTGTGTTGGAGTCGGTCACGAGTAAATAATATTGTTTGGTGGACGCAGTATGAACATTACAAAGAGTGGCAGCATGTGGCCTCTAAAGGTTGGATCACATTTTAAACAGAATTATATAATATATAAAACCATGCACTCATATCTATACAACCTACAGAAATGCAAAACGGCGTCAATTAAAAAAGGTAATTATTTCTTTCTGTTTACCGCATCATTTATGAGAATACATTTCAGAACATGTAAGAGAATAGTTGGTTTTCAATAACATATCAGTTTTTATTTATTTCTCCAAGTTATGTTTTTGTGTGTACTTTACTTTACTTTTTCTGTTCACATCTTTCATCCTTCTGCGAAAGGTGTCGCAGTTTCTAATCGCTCACATTTTTGTGCGTACATTTTCCCGTCAAGTATGCTTTTTTACTTTAAGAAACATTGCTTCGAAATTAGCGTACGATTAAAAAAGATGGCGTACACCACGTTTATAAATGAGGCCACTGACCCAATCATTGTAAACAATTTTTCTAACGTCATGTTGCGTTCACATCGGACACAAAGAGAATATTCGCACGTGATTTGTCCATCATATTGCAGGAAATAAGCTCTGTGGCAAACACATATTTATGATTTTTTTTGTGTGCAGTAGGATAATCCGCACATATCAACACAACCAATTTTTGAAGCGTAAATGCAATCGCCAGAAGTAAAAAGCTATCGTTAGGCTACAGTATAAAGGAACTACAGCACGGTCACATGTCTGCGCATCACCAACGCTAAGCTAAAGGCAAAATCGTGTCAATCGGATGGCGTTGAGTAGTTTATTTAGTCACTTGTTAACATCCCCCGATTTTATGAGACAAAGCAGCTTTGGATATTCACCAGAGCGCACTGCTCCTAGTACTAGGACGGGGGAACGCACCATAGTACTCAGCTTGAACTATGTTTAGCTTTGATTCCACCCACACCGTTGTGTCATTTAATAATTCTGCAGAAATAAGGCAATGACTAGGCATATCATGTGTTTTATTCCCTTTTTGTAGCCAATGCAATGTACATGGGGGGTCAGGAAATGAAGAAAGTATTGGAAAGAGACGACTTAACCATCAAGAAAAACCTGGAAAAGGTAAGAAAAAGCCTACACATACAGTGTAATCACATTTAGAGTCTGCATACTTTCTACTTAGTGAATATTTCATAACATAAAAAACTAAAGTTGCTCGAATTATCTGTTAAGGTTGTTTTCAGATGTCACTGTTTATCTGTTCCCATTTTAGCTGATATTTTATTATGGAGCGACCGACCACTGGTGCCCTGTTCAGTATTATCATGACATCAAGCAGGACTTTCCACACGGAGACTTCAGACTGTGTGAGAACGGGTTCCGCCATGCCTTCGTCCTCGATGCAGGGCGAGAAGTTGCCCAAATGGTGTCTGAATGGATCAGTGTGGATTTTAGGACATGAGTTTCTTCTTCTATTTCGGTATACTCCTCCACATCCGTCTGACACTTTGGGACCAGGAACTTTTTATGAGCAGAGATAATGCAATGGATTTGACTATGCAAGCTTAGTGGCGAAGATACATTATATATTGAATTAAATACATATTATCAAATTATTGGCGGACTATGTTTCATCATTATTTGGTATTCATCTAAAATACCTTTTGATTTTTCATTCGTTTTCTTCTGTCAAACATAAGCAGATTGTAATTTAATCAGATTTAAAGGGAAGAAACATTTAAGCCCTTTCTCATTTCTAAAATGTTCTCCTCCTTGCCTCCTTGGTCCTCCGGTAGTGACTCGAAATCGATGTCAACGCGCCATCTTGAAGAACATCCGATTTCTCTGAACTATATCCAGTCTCTGATAGTGTTATGTTATTATGCGAGTGCTCTATTATGAAAAATATTTCCCCCTCACTCAAATCATACCGGTGCCTGCCCGCATCTGTAGCCTGTTATTGTCTCATTATAACACACTGTGAATGAATTAAAAGTAAATATATAAGTTGTCATGAACACAGTTCTGCCCATCAGACAGAGGGCTGCTGTGCCTCCTGTCATCATTAATGGACGTCTCTTTAAAATGACCGCTCAGATTTCTCATTTCTCTAAACGCCTGCTGCTTCCACTCCTCTCTCCTCCGCTCGCATCTCCTGTGGGCGGGGCTAAGACGCGAGGAGTTGAGGAGGGGAAAACCGCACACAGCATCACTTTTTTTTATAGGAAAATAAGCAAAAGCTTTCAAATTAAACAACTGATAGTTTATTCATTGTAGGAATTGCTGTTATCCTTCTTTGTAAAGAAACATTTTATAAAATGGTATACGTGGTAATGAATGAGGCGCCTGATATAAATATAAACTCCTTAACAAAAACTTTAGACCGGTAGAAAACGCCCCTGCACAACCTGAAGCTCCTGTGTGCCTTGAAGGAAGAAGCACCCTAGATCATGATGGAGCCTCCTCCACTGTGCCGCATAGAAAACATCTCCAGTGGGATCTCCTTGTCATGCCAGTAACGTTGGAAGCCATCAGGACCATCCAGCTTACATTTTTTCTCGTCAGTTAATAAAACTTTCTTTCACCTTTCAATGTCCCATGTTTACAAAGTCCAGACGGGCAAGTTTGTGGCTTGGGAGGAAACGTGGTTGTCAAAGAAGTTTTTTGTTCTTTGAACCCTTCTCTCGCAGAAGCTCTACTAACAACCTGGTTATGATCCACCAGTGCAAAATGCGAATTCTTTTAATTCTTCCCCTGTTCTTAAGATTTTGTTTAGGAATAAGCCCTGATGAATCACATTATCCCATAACCCCATGATGTTTTTCATCAATCTTAAGGAAAAGTGGTAAGAAATGGGGTATGAAGGCAAGGTTGATGACTTCTTATAGTGTGACAATTTTATTTAGGTTGGATGAGTGAAATAAAACAGACAAAATGTACATGAACAGGGAACAAGCTTTTTCGCACCTTATTAATACAGTAGACATGGTGCGTGGAAGGTCAAGAAAAGCAATGCCAAGGATGGAAGACATTCATTTCTAAATCATTTGATTTCCCTGGCGAATACTTTCTTACTACTGCTACTTGTAACATTTGCCAGGCATTCTTAAGTTAGCAGGAAGAGGCGAGGCAGGTGGCTGACGTATGATCAAAATGTGTATGAGCACCTCAGAATGTGGTCAATCTGATATGATCAAATTACCATCTGTCTTTTTATGCATTATCATGGATTTTGTTCATTGACCAGGTAGCTAGATATAATGCTATGATAAGATGTCCTTACAGTCAGACTTCCTGTTGGAAGATTCAGAGGATCATATTGGGTGTTCCAATTACAAGTGGACAGCTCAAGGTACAGGAGTAAATGCATTCAGTCACACTGAAGATGCATTGGAACCCTGGTGCGCATATGTCTACATTATTTATACGAGTAAACGTACCTGGCAATAAACTAGAATCTGATGCTACTGCCCGGCTGGTATCAGATGTCTCCATTTTACAGCAGGGTCTATGTCATGTCTCTGAAGTCTCAACAGAGTCACAGCGACGACTTCTCCTTTCTCCCGCTTGGCTTGCATCAGTCTTTTGTCGAGGAGAGGGTGTTTCTGGGAATCTCTGCCCCGGTCCCAGCACCTGTCTCACAGTCACATTCAGCCTGGAGCTCTGGATATACCTGGTGCACAACACCCAGTCCTCCTCTGACAGCACCCCCCCCAGAGTGCTGTCCTGCGAGGAGAAGGCCATGCAGCAGCCCTCCATCTCTAAAGCTGTTTGTCCCTGGGGGCCTGGAATGATACGTGGGACAGCATGGTAAAAGAGGCGGCTCTGTCCCGACATCACCATCACATCCCCACTGTGCATGTACATAGCAGTGGGGGGGTCCTCTCTGCGGACACCTCCCAGGAGGAAGATCGCTGATTGCCCGAAACTGTCAGAATAAAGACAAGTCAGTGGCAATTTTTTGTTTCCCATGAAAGTGGTGCAGGAATGAGTCCTAAAACCTGGGAATGACTCAGCATTTTAGCCCAGGTTCCCTTGGCTGGAAGTCAATGGTTCTTTGAATGTGTTTGTTTGGAATGCTGAAATAAGTTCTATGGTTAACATAAGCTGAAGAGGCTTTCCCGTTTTGTTTCTCTTTTTTTGCAAAGCTGAAAATATTTTGAAAGGAACATCTTGTTTCTCTAAGCCAGGGTAGTCAAACTCAAATACACAGTGGGCCAAAATAAGAAAATGGGTACTAGTCGAGGGCCGGACTGGTTCAATGTGTATTGCAAAACATATTGAAATGAACTTATTGCACATATTAAACCTGGAACTAACAAAGCTTCAATGATTGCCTATTGTTTTTCAACATTAAACATTAAATAATCAGTTGCATTCATTTCTTATGGCTCTATCTGCAGCTTTTCCGGAGTCATTTCTTATGATTACATTTTCCCACAGGCCAACAACAGCTTAAAAAAAACAATTTCCCCCAAAGAGAAAACCAAACATGCCCTGTTGTCGTGAGAAACAAAGTACAGAAGGAAACATGTAAACTCAGTGTGCTGCTCTGTGATGCTAGTTCAGATACTTGGCATCTCATCTCGGGTGCAAGTTCATCAATGTTTGGGCTCAGGCTCTGAGCTGAGGAGACCCTCAGGATGGAGTGAAGGTGTGCGTGCAATATACCGGCGGGCCAGATCTAATAGTAATAAAAAATTATCCTGCGGGCCGAAATTAAATCTACCAAGGGCCCTCCTTTTTTAAGACAAGTTCAAATAGCACTGAAAAGATACAAAAACATGTTTTTGTGTTGATCTTTAGTGTCATAAACAAACCATAGATTTTGTATAGTTTAACTATATATAAAACTTAATGAGCTTTTATAAAATGTGTTTTGCGGCTCCAGACAACATTTTATTTGTGGAAGAGGGGGCAAAGAGGCTATTTTGATAGTAAAGGTTTCTGACCCCTGGCCTAATGTTAGCTTTTTACTTCAAAAATCCTAAAACTTTTGTCAGAATGCTGTGATTAACTTGCTGAACAATAAATAAAAACAATAAATATATGTTTTTATGCTTATTTTCTGCAATATAACGAAATCCAATGTAAAGTCCCATTATTATTTTTTCCAGGAAGCCCTTGCGCTTTTTCCCTCCGTGTCGACCTACTACTATTTGCTGGTACAATAAAACAAACAACCAAACAAACTAAAGTTGCTATTCTTAAAGCCTCGATGAAGAGAATAATCCCTCCCTCTCACCTGAAGGACAGCAGCGGCCGGCTGTGATCCAGTTCTGATTCATCCACATGGATTCCTAGTGACGAGTCATGGCGGTAGTAGTTGAGGATTCCAGCCTGAGCACTGAACCCTGGAAACCCACAGGCCGCTGTTATTTGGACAGACAGCAGGTGGAGATCAGCAGGTAAAGGAGTGTGATGGTTGGCAGAGTAAGTCTGTGAATGGAACAGAGTACAAAATGTGGCCAAATCTTTTAAAATGGAGTATCATCAAACAATGTGTAAATGGACAAAAAGAAAGTTGGCTTAGGTAGTGCACAGTTTGTTTCAAACTACCTCAGATGGCCTTATATATGTTAGAGATGTTAAACACTGAGGTGTATTAAGAATACATTAAGTGGAAGTGGAATTTAACAGCACCACTTTACAGGGTATAGTTTATTTATTTATTGTATTTGTTCTTCTTTTTAAAATGCTTTACTTTTATTCTAAAGTCCAGAGGCGATTGCTTGAATGTAAGGAGATCTCTGACTGACTGTAACAGTGTGCTTCATGGTCCATATCTTAAGCCCTCAACCATCAGGGCAAATCTTAAAAATGTGACTTCATGAATTTTAACCCTTTTAAAAGAGACATTCCATTCACATATAGAAATATATATATATATATATATATATATTTTGAGATGTAGAAGAATGTTGTGACAGAAAGGTAATGTATGTTTCTGATAATAATTGTAATATTGATTCCTACATTTACCAACTGATACCAATTGCATCCTACCCGGTTTGCTCACCTTGGTATCCCAGTTGTAATGATATCCCAGAGTGACCCAGCGCAGCCTTTCAAGAAGAGTCTTGGGTTCTCTTTTTCCAGAGGGTGAGGAACTATGGAGGGGATAAACAAGGGAAACAGGACCGCTACAATGTAAGCATGTGCTGGAAGCTTAAAAGCTGATTTAGTATCGTACTCCTTTGACATTGTCAAGACTCATGATGTACAGTTTAAAAAAGGATCCACATTGCTAAAGTAGAACCAGAGATGTGGTCTTCTTTATTTTATGCATTGTTCTCCCTGCTGAAATCCATAACCTCCATCACACTGATGCATCTCACCTGCTGACTAGTCAGTTAGAGATTCAGGAGTGTTATAGAGTAGTGCAGAGATGAGGTAGTTTTCCCTCGAGCACACACATTATTGATTCTTACACATTTTTATAATATTAACAACACTTTTATGCTCTTTAAAGAGTAAAAGCAATTGGCATAAATTAAAAGCTAACATAAGGCTATAACCAAACTACAGCATGGTCACATGACTTCACATTAACACCGCTAAGCTAAAGGAGGCTAATGTTCGGCATTTTGACCTTTAACATTCACATTTAGAAATTGAAGTTTTTATCACATATAGAAGCTTCACACATTCACCAGTGGGGGATTGAATTATGATCTTTGTGTGGAAGAACTAAACGTGAAAATCTCTTCAGCTCGTGTTAACAACCTTATTTAGTTCTAACAACGACAAACATGTTCAAAATAAAATTGACTTCAAAATCAGGGAACCAAAAGTGCTAAAATGCTGACTCATTTCAGGGTTATAGGACTCACTACTACTACTACTACTAATAACAATAATACATTTTATTTAAGGGCGCCAAATGACACCCAAGGACACCGTACAATTTCTTAACTATTCTAAGAGGTAAAAGCAACAGAACATTTTAAAAACGCAAACAGGCGATCATTAAGGAGACAATCAAAGTGGACACAAACGATAGGGACAGGTAATTCAGGGTACACAGATGATAGTGTCACACTTTGGACTTTTGGACTGTCTGTATCTGTGGATGAAATATGTGCAGCAACGCGTATCTCAGACCATTTACCGGTTCTGTTTACAACCTCCATCCCTTCCGCAGGAGTCGAATCACGTGCCCCTGCGCGTCGTCTGCGCTCGATTAACCCCTTGACTGCCTCACAGTTCTCTGATGTTTTTAATGCGTCTCCGATCTGTAAATTAGAGGTGAACTGTGTTTTTAGTGCTGATGAGCTTATCTCCATGTTTGACTCGACATGTACCCTAATACTGGATTCTGTTGCTCCTTTTACGCTTAGACGCACCAAAGTTCTCTCAGAGCCGTGGCTCAATGATTGTACTCGTGCTCTCAGACGCGCTTGCAGGCGTGCAGAGAGAAAATGGAAAAAGGATAAACTCCATAAAATCAAATCAAATCAAAGTTTATTTATAAAGCACATTTAAAAGCGATTTTTGGTCGGGCCAAAGTGCTGTACATGTAATAACTACAATCACATAAAAACACATTTCTACAATCACAATAAAAGACAATAAATTACAACAGATATTTAAAAAAAAACACAGGGAAAAGTCAGGAGTCGTGCTCCGCTCTGACTAAAAGGCCAGGGAGAAGAAGTGTGTCTTAAGAGTAGATTTAAAAACCCCTAGGGTCTGGGCCGAGCTCACATGGAGGGGCAGAGTGTTCCAGAGCCTCGGGCCATGTCTCCTTAGAAATCCTTCGTGCTTGCCTTTCCGACTACCAGACGGCAGTCAAAGCAGCCAAAACAGAGCACATTTCTCTATTAATCTCCAAAAACAGCCATAAACCTCAGGTTCTTATTTAGGCCCGCTGGTCTCATCATACAACGGCAATGAAAAAAGCACCAGGGGAGGCAGCCATAACCTCTGCCGCACTGAAGGGGGCGCACGTGAGCCCACAGGTTCTTGTTGCTACTGTTATTCTACGCAGAGACGGTAGACGCAAACAACAAACTAGACTTTTGAAACTAGAAGAAGATAAGGAGGACTTTTACAAAAAAGTAATAGAGATTGTTGTCCAGAAGGATAGCATGGACTTCATCTTCAAGTCAAGGTAAGACCACATTTGTAATGAAAATGGGATCTTACTAAGAAAGAACAATCCAATATTTGATTTTTTACTGTTTAAAATGAATCGAAGCATCAGACTAAAAAAGCTTTTGAAAATAACCGAATATTTCGATTCAAAATATAATATTTGTAAATCTGACTCTGAAAGAGTCAGTGCCTCACCAGCCATGAACCTCACCGCACGTCACATATATACATATATATATATATATATATGGACACACCTTCTCATTCAATGGTTTTTGTTCATTTACATTTGTTTCTACTTTGTAGATTAGCGCTGGGAAGGCCCACTCCTCCCTACACGCAGATCACGCAGACTGTGTGGGGCCTCATCTTGTGGAGGGAGTCTCACCTCCTTATCTGATGCGCAATTAAGCGCACCACAGTTTCGCCGCAGCAAGGCTCCGGCGCTCCGACTTCATGTGCGTGTTTGATTTATTCTCCTACTTGAAAGACTACGGAGGGATAGGGTCTGCAAAATGTGTTTATTTTGGGGATTGACCGGATGCTCTGACTGTTCCACTTCCTGCCCGACGCTATGCAACGCCTCACGCCTCACGAAAATAGGCCAGCCGCGTATCTTTAGCGGAGCCCAGCGCCGAGACGTTTCTGGGACGCTTCTGACCCCTAGATTCCACCGGGTCCGTCTGCGCCCGTTACGGCTGCACCGCGGTTTTGGTCCGGCCTCCTCCGGCGTCATACCCTACCAGGCGCGTTTCAGAAGCATTTCAGAAGCGGAGCGTCTTGCCTGCCGGCTCGCAGTTTTTGTTGATTTGGGCATATTTCCTGGACAGGCTACTTTGTACAGACAAAGTTAATAATAACTGTAATATTCCAGTTATAAACGACATGAATCAAAGATGTGTTGCTGTATTTTAGTGGTAAAGAAATGCATTAATCATCATAATTATTCTATATATATAATTTACACAGTGCCTGTAAACCGGAGGAGAACGCTGGCATTTCTTCTCCTACTTGAAAGACTACGGAGGGATAGGGTCTGCAAAATTAGTTTGTGTGTGTGTATATATATATATGCTCTGAACGTTCCACTTCCTGCCTGCCCGACCTTACGTTACGGCTGCGCCGCGACAAAAATAGGATTCGATCCTAATTTTAGAGGAGCCCTGCGCCGAGCCGCTTCTGGGACGCTTCTGAGCCGTAACGCGCCGCGTGTGGTGGAATAGCACCCATTGACTAGAGTGGCCGCGATCGCCGTGAGCACCGCGGCGCAGCCGTAACGCGCCCGTAACGCGCCCGTAACGCACCACAGACGGACCCGGTGGAATATAGGGGTAACGCGGCGCAGACGGACCCGGTGGAATACAGGGGTGAGCCGCGTTCCGTCTGCGCCGCGGTTTTGTTCCGACCTCTGAACGGCGTCATACCCCACCGGGCGCGTTTTAGAAGCATCTTGCCTGCCAGCTCGCAGTTTTTGTTGATTTGGGCATATTTCCTGGACATTTGTACTTCTACAAGAAAGTAACTAGGCTACTTTGTACAGACAAAGTTAATAACAGTTTTAATAGACAGTTAAAAACAACATGAATCAAATATGTGTTGCTGTATTTTAGTGGTAAAAAAATGCATTCATCATCATAATTATTCTATATATATAATTTACTCACAGTGCCTGTAAACCGGAGGAGAACGCTGGCATTTCTTCTCCTACTTGAAAGACTACGGAGGGATGGGGGGTCTGCAAAATTATTATTATTTGGGAAATGTACCGGATGCTCTGGCCATTCCACTTCCTGCCCGGCGCTATGCAACGCCTCGCGTCTCCGTCAAAAATAGACCAGCCGCGTATTTTTAGCGGAGTCCAGCGCAGAGACGCTTCTGGGACGCTTCTGAAACGCGACGCAGACGGACCCGGCGTATATATACAATTTCAGAATCAAACAAGTATCAAAGCACTCTCATAATAACGTAACACTACCAGAGACTATATATAGATATCTATATATATATATCCTCCAGAGAGCCTCCTCGGTCCTCGATGTGCATCTAGAGAAATTAGATGTCCTTCAACATGGCGCGCTGAAATCGATTTCCGGGTCACTACCAGAGGACCGAGGAGTTGAGGAGGCGGAAATTTGACAATTGAGAAAGGGCCCAAGGCTCTGAACTTGGCTGGAGAAGGGAACAGAGAAACCATAAATGATGAGGTTGGAGGCAGGGGAGGGTTGGAGAGGTTGGATTTGGTGCCAACGAGCAGGGCAATATATATTTTATTGAGATCTTTATCTGAGACTAGATATCATCTTGGATTTTGGAAATTGCTGTCTTTTCCTGGTTTTAAATACTGCACTGCAGTAAAGTTATGTAATATTTTGAAAGTAGCTGATCTAGTATTTGCATATATCAACTTGGTCATTATATAGACATCGTCGATGATAATTTATAAAATTATATAAAATTGTATAAATATCTGTTGAAAGCATCAACCATATCGTAAGAAAATCGATATTGAGGTATTTTGTCAAATATCTGGACATTTCATTTTTATATCTGCCCAGACCTGGATCAGACATGTATAAATAGCTACCTTCTTAATAGTTCATGTGAGCTTTTGTGCATGAAGAATGTGTGACAATTGTTTTGGCACTAAACAGTCAAATGGTGTTAGTCCTTTTTTTAAAAGATATTCTCAGGGGTTTTGAGTAGATACAATTTAAAAACGGTATTGGTATTGGTATTAACCTCTTAAGCCCTGAGCCTGTTTTTCAGGTCTCAGGCTCGAAAATGACATTCCCAGAACAAATGACCATATCTTCCCTTCTAAAAGGGTTAAATTAATAATCTTTTTTCTCAAAGTAATGATAAACCTGTGAGTTGGATGTAGAAAAGTCAGAATCAATATAGATCTTTTTTATTTTAAAGAAAATTCAGATTTTACATAGTAAAAAAACTGTAAATTACAGTGTCCGTCCAAAAGTTCTTTTTTACTTATAGTGAAAACTACCTTTGGATGATGGTAAGGTAGACTAAAAGCTTTAGGAATCCAAAGTACAACATATAATAAGTACCCTGTATCAAGATTGATGCAAAACAAGTGACATTTGACCTTTTTAGAGAGGTTTAGCAAAAGAAACTCCACCTCTGAGGTGATTTGGGTAGAAATGGGGGTTTTACCGTTTCTCTGGAACCCATTGGTCGATTTTGGTGATTGACATCTCTTTCTGACCGTTAGAGCCAATAGAATCGAAGGGGGATTTCCCCACACACACACATGGTGAAAAAAAAAGGTGGGGGTTTTGCGCATGCAGGATTGCATCAGAGTGAACCTATCTCTCGCTCTGACATCTGGAAACGGAAAAGCAGGTTTATTGCTTATGGATTATCAGAAATCATTTCAAAGAGGACACAGACACATTAGATTAACCTATGGATTAACTTCAGCAGCGTTTTTATCGTTTTAATGCCATTGAAGACCACTTTTGACCAGACAACGACACAGGTAAGCCATGTTAGCGTTTTTAGCTACCTAGCGCCACATGTTTTGATGTCTGTTCTTGTTTATAAAGTCGCGAGTTCTTATCATAGAGTGATAATGTATGTACCCATCGATTCTGTGTCTTCTCACGATCAGATCGATGTGTTGGATGTGCAGAAAGGATAAATAATAAGGTTTTATGAGTGAGTTTCGGTGCAGTAAATCTGTTAGCATTTTTCGCTCGTTGCTAATTCAGAGGCTCAGCATTAGCATTGTGTTTTTTTTTTTTTAAATAAATAAGAATGATCAGTTAGATGACTTTCTTCCCGTTACATGGATATAAAACATTCATAGTTTATTAAATGTTAAGATGCCCTCAGACACTGTTTCCTGCAAGATGTTGCGGGAGTGCCCCGGTACCGGGGTCTCTCGGGCTTAACAGGTTAAGAAGTGAATCCGTTTCTTCACAGAACATTTAACAGTAAGAAGATGGCCAAATAAACTTGTCATTCCTCTTTAATGGTGAACAAGATGGCAGCAGCGTTGTTTATTTACTGACATCAGTTTGGATATTTTAACGTTTGTTACTCTTTTAACCCGGCATTTTAATGCTGAGCTAGCGAGCTAGCTACCGAACGCAGACTATATCCACCCTCGGCAAACTCACCAACATGACTCTCACTATCGATGGCACCACTGTTTCCCCCTCCAACCAGTCACGCAACCTTGAAATAATCTTTGACCCCACCCTCTCCCTCGAGCCTCAAATCGACCAAGTAATCAAAACCTAATTTGACCACCTTCACAATATTGCATAGATCCGACCCTCTTTCACCCGCCCGTCAGTTTAACGCCTTAATTTCCTCCCGCCTTGACTACTGTAACTCCCTTCTATACGGCATCAGCTCACCCTCCCTCAATAGACTACAACTGGTTCAAAATGCAGCCGCCCGACTCCTCACGCACACCAAATCATGGCACCACATCACCCCAGTCCTCAAAGAACTTCACTGACTTTCCCTCTCCCATCGCATCAACTACAAAATACTTGTCCTCACCTACAAAGCCCTCCACCATCTGCCCCCCTACCTCACTGACCTCCTCACCCCCTACCAACCTAAACAGCTTATTTAATCTCAGCAATATTACAAAAAATCTGACACTTCCTCAATCGTTGGCTGGATTACTCCCTTTTATCAGGCTGTCCCAACACATTCATCGAAAAACCTTCATCTGGTACAAAATCCTGCAGCCCGTCTACGAACAAAAACAAGTAAAATGGACCATGTCACTCCAAATTTAGCAGCTCTACACTGGCTCCTAGTAAAGTACGGAATTTATTTTTGTTTCAATCAGAGGCAGACTGTCCATACTTTTGAGAGTGTGCCCAATACCTTCCTTTTTAACAAAGCCTTGTATGGTATTTATTTTACTGTATTTTATTGTATTAATTTTATTATATTTTTAAATCTCTATCTTGTCTTTTCATTTTCCTATAATTGTATTGTTTACAATGTTGTTGTTTGTTTTTAATCTTTAAAGCCCACTGAGATAAACGTGTTTTGTGATATTGGGCTATATGAATAATTTGATTTGAATTAACTATGTAATGGTAAATACAAAATAAAATAAAAACAGACATTAGTTAGGGATGTAGTTGTTTAGCAGATTCTACCTGACATTTTAATAGACCTAACCAGAGCTTAAAGGTCACCTATCATGCTATTTTTAGGCAATAGCATAAGTCTCAGATATATAAAAAAATATAAAAAACATGTCTATGAAGTGTTTTGGTCGAAAAACCAAACAGATCACCCATTCTAGCCATGCTTCATATCCCTCTATTTCTCTTCCTGTTCCAAAAGTGCTGATTCTGGGTATAAGCAGGTCTCTCTTGAGAATGAGACCCTGTGTCTCAATGAGATTTTCACCTGTATAAATAAAGGCTAAATAAAAAAATAAAACTTTTTTTTGTTTTAAACTGAAAAAATTAAAAATAAGAGGGGGCGGAGCCTTAGCGGCTCATGCGGGACCTGGCAGATACTGTCTAAAATGCTGCGGTGATGAAACGCAAGGATTATTAGATCAAGGATTATTAGATCAAGGATTATTAGATCAAGGATTATTTCTGAAACAGTATGGAGCTCAAAGGCTTTCTCTCTTGCCGGTAATACCACAAGGTGAGTTCCTTTTTATTTCCTGCTTCTTCACACACATGCTCTGTGCAGTACAGGTTAGCTCTGAGTGTTAGCAATGCTAATGCAAACACCGACCATATTACGTCCAAAACAGTCGGGCATTGTTTCTGATAGCAACGTTTCTGATAGTGCTGTGGGTCCGCCGCCGATTTGACGTCATATCGGCGGCAAATCTGGATCAGCTCCGTTGTTCCCCCGTTTTTAGAGATTTGGGTACGGGTTTTCTGACGCTGCCTGAGTTCCCTGACACACCGGGGACACATATTTATGTATAAAAGACATAAAAAAGTGCATTTTGCATGATAGGTCCCCTTTAAACAACCGCAGTCAACTGGCCCAGGTTAGCGGCACACTGATGCAGTCAGAGATGTCTCACCTCAGGCCATGGACACTTTGGCCCCAGATGTCCTGGGTGTCAGACAGAGACATGTGCATGTCCAAGTTGCAGACGTTGGGCTTCTGAGGGTAGGTCTTTAGACACTGTCTGATCCAGAAGGGCTGGGAGCCCCGCAGGAACGGGTTTGAGATAAAGATGAACCCTGAACACAGCAGTAGAGCACTGGGTTATACAAACTGAAAAAAAATGAACCCAGTATTATTTATTTGGTTTTACTGGAGCACTGTGGTGGGAGACACACTGATGTACAGAACAATACAGTACTAACAGACGATTCTCTAACATATAATAAGGTATTAATTTAAACGAAAAACCTGAATAAAGAAGTGGAGAAACCAGGAGCGTTGTTTTTTTTTTCACTATAAAAGGATCGAAATGTGCAGAAACTATTTTCTAAGCAGAAATGTAGATTTATAACAAAAGCTTTAAGTTGAAAAGTGCTGAAAATATGCATTTCAACCATTTCTTTTGTTTCAACATTAAACAAAAGAAATTTGCCACACAAATGGTTGGCAAATGCAAAGGCAATTGTTATACCTAAAATGATGCCCTTCATGTTACCTATAGATAGATTTTATCATAAGTATTCAGACCACTAGTGTTATTTCTACTAGAGAAGGATATTGCATAAGCACCTTTCAATTGTATAAGATACAAGCCAACTCAAATCGAATTCTGCTCACTATTATTTTTAAAAGCTTGTTTTCTGAGTGGAGATTGGTTTGTTTAAGGCAAAGCTAAGCTAATATTTTAGGTGCTTCATTAACACTTGAAATAACGTCATGTGACATTGTGAAATGTGAAATACCAAAAATAGTCTATGCTTTATAAAAAATAAATTGATATACATATTTACTTTGACTCTCTGTATAAATCTGAAGGATTTTAGATCTTCCGGTAGCCTTAGCTGGCAGCTAATGTTGGTCAAGTTGAAAATGTGCACGAATATGCACATTTCATTTATTTGACCGTGTTTTTTGTTTGCATTGCCTTTATATGCAATTGAGTATGTGCATTTAATGTATAGCACTTTTTTCCCAGTATATGTACGTATATTACCACATTAACATACGCAAACATTTAGTGTGGATTATACACAGAGTTTTAGAAATTTGGCCCCTGATCTCAACCTAACCAAAACCCTATTGGAGGTCCTTAGCAACACAATAAGTATGGGGGTATATTTTGGGATGTTGCGGATCACCCTTCTTGCAGACTTGAAGAATATATGGCAAGGAGCTCTTGTGATGAGTTAAAATGTGTTTACTCAAGCCAGAAACGCGCTTGACACTTTCTTGTGTGAGCCAATCAGCGTTGAGATTCTTCTCATGTTGCCACTCACGTGCTGAAGTTGTTGTCAGCAATAACAAAATATCAGCTGTTGGACCCAGAGCCTTATAGTACCTCATATTTGTACAGAAACTGGACAAAGTTTGTTGTTGTCCAATGTATGTGTACAAATCATAAAGGCTCTATGGCATGACAAATAAAGATGCTGCTTTATTTATGTATAATAATATGAAACTATTTTGAGAGATAACAGAGCAGCTACAATGGTAGCTTAGCCTAAACTAATCAATCCAATCTCCATTCAGAAAGTTGCTTTGCTTTTGCTTTGAAGACACACTTGTCAAAGCATTTATACAGGGTTTTCATCATTGTTGATACGTATATTGCAATTAAATCATACCACATTAGTAAACAAGACCGGTTCAGCCGACTTGTGAATTGATAGAGACAATGAATACAGCTCTCACTGAGCTGTGTGAGACTGTGAGGATGATGTTAAAAAAATAAAACTGTGTTTGGTCTCTCAATGTATCTCTAACTTCCACACTATGTACAAAGTAACAAAAGAGGTGATTTTGGACAAGGCTAATGAAACATTGTTGTTATCTACATGGAGAAAAGCCTTGGCAGCGAGTTTAGTTGAGGTCACAAGTTCTTGAGGATTGCAAGGCAAATAATTGCTTAGCATCTGTTACTAACATACCATAAGAAAAATTCTCTTTGACGCAGCAACACGCAACAGCATGTGCTCTCTACATGTGAAACAACTGATAAAGACTCTTGGCCCTTAGAAAAAGGCGCTAAGTGAATACAGGCCCTAAATGTTGCATTTGTTAATGATTAATGGGTGGTTCTTTCTTTCAAATAAAATAGTGAAATTAATGTTGGCTCAGGGGTATGTCTAAGCTTGGTGTTTGACCTGTCCTATCTGCGTTACCTGGGTAGCCCTGCAGGCCAAAGGCCCTCCAGGATTTGACCGGCTGTAATCCAGCCCTGGCAGCCTCGCTGTCACTCACTGCAGAAAGGTCCAGTACTGCTGGAACTATCTATGAGAGAGACACACACACACACACACACACACACACACACACACACACACACACACACACACACACACACACACACACACACACACACACACACACACACACACACACACACACCACACACACACACACACACACCACACACACACACACACACACACACACACACACACACACACACACACACACACACACACACACACCACACACACACACACCACACACACACACACACACACACACACACACACACACACACACACACACACACACACACACACACACACACACACACACACACACACCACACACACACACACACACACACACACACACACACACACACACACACACACACACACACACACACACACACACACACACACACACACACTTTAGTCTCAGTCCATCTCAAGCCAAAGTGTTGTTGTGCTCTATATTTCAAAGTCTTCTATTGGCGCATTTCCACTACACGGTCGGCCTCGGCCACACTCGGTACGGCTTGGCCGCGTTGGGCCTTAACAGGGCCGACTCACTTCATGCTGCGCTTCCATTACAGTTTAGGAACTGGGGTAGTTACTATAGTAACGCAGTGTAGGCGGAGCCGTGACGTCATCTTCAATGAGAAGTCCAGAAACACAACACAGCCGTTAGCTGTTAGCACTCAGAGCTCACAGCTCCTCATATATGTTCAGAAACTCGACAAAAGTTAAACAAGTACACACCACAGACTGCCTGTGTCATGGTGAATACAGTCGCTGCTTTATTTATGTCTGTATAGGCCGTTGTTGTGAGTGTGGACGGTCGGAGCATATACTGCGTTAGCTTAGCCAATCTCCATCTAGAAAAACACGCATTTTAAAAGGTTTTTCGCCTGCCGTCTGTCTGCAGACTTGACAAAGCATTAATTCATGGTTTTTACTAACCGGTATCAGTATGTTGTTACTTCGGCATCATTTTGAAACGTGTATTACAATTAAATCACGGTCAAATATGTCCATCTTGTTGTAGTTCTAGCCCTCTTGCCAGCGCTCCTCTCTCTAGTTTAGCATACTCAGCCCGACTCAGCCCTGTTTGTTGGCCCCGATAGAACCACAATTTTCTAGGGCCAGAAAAGAGGTGAAAAAGTGGCCCCGCGCCGTGCCGCGCCGGAACTAGGCCTAGTGGAAGCACAACCAAAAAAGGGGACGGCACGACACGGCACGCTTAAAGCGAGCTCCGCGCTGCAGTGGAACTGCGCCATAAGTGAGACTCAACCAGAGAGATACGAGCCCCCACATCTGAAGCGAGCCAAAAAACTGTATTGCCACACATTCATTATTTCCAAAACCCAAAATATAGCAGAGTCTGTGTCAGGGAAGTACATTGAATTATCTTTTGCTCTTATTAAAGCTTTACAGTGGTGTTGCGACTGCTATTGCGTAGGTAAAACACACAGACAGTTTATCTTACTTCGGTGACACTATCTTAACTCTGTAGTTGTTTTTTCTAAACGCATTGCATTTTCATTTGAATCAGCTGACAAATGTGCAATCAACCATGAACACATTTATTCTGAAAAATCTGAAATGGTTTTGAATTGTAAGCATATCCTGGCTTATACCTCTGTATTTTATTTTAAGTAAAGTAGATGTTTATTAAAGATTGGATTAATATTGAAAACCCACTTTTTAAAGGGAATAATAATAATCAGCTCAAAATTCCACTATATCGCTCATTTTACACAAACTTTTTGCAAGTTGCGATCAATATTTGTATATATAAATGAAATAAACATAAAGTATATACACATTGATAGGAAAGGGGTCCTTTAAAAAAAGGTGTGTTAACACTGGCTAAAGAAGCTAGGCAGGGATCACTGAAGAAACACTGGTAGTTCCAAAGAGTGAAGTTATAGTAAAGCATACAACTTATTCAGCAATGGCTCATAAGTTTAATTTTGCTGATAGTATTATGAATCCGTATTTAACGGATGTACAAAGCAGTGTGTCTGCAACCAGCTTCTCTTTTGTTGAGTCAACAGGGTATTTTTATGTTGGAGCTTTACTACTTTTACTAAGTAAAGGGTGTGAGAAGGTCTAGGGGGCTCTCAAACGAGAATATAATCTAAAGGGAATTACTCACAATTATGAATATTTGTTATGGTTCAGGATTTTACTGTATTCATTGGTTTTTACATTACATAATATGGTTAAGGACGGTGGCTGTTTCCTTATAAATAGTGCATAGGCAATTCTTGGTTTGGAAATGGTCATGCCCATAAATTGATATTTTTTACCAGGAGCCAAATGATCTAGTTTTCTCCTCTCTAAATCAAACAGACCTAGAGGAGTAAAGCTCGGTAAATACTGGGTAAAGCAGATTCACTTTTAAAATCACTGTTTTCCCGGTGTTCATCTTTTAAAAACAAACAGTGACAAAAAAACACCAAGATCCAATCGTGTTGGACTAAATTGACTTTATCCTGGATTCAAGGTCAATTTATGACAGCTTCTGACAGTCAACCATAACATTGACGCATGCGCAAGAAGGCACCATTACCAGACCAGATGAAACGCACAGTACCTTGCGCATAATAAAGATTCCTCTTTGAAAGTTGGGATAATATAAGCACACAGCTGGACAACATATATAACACGTGTAGACGGTTTTAAACACATGAGTGCGGCCATGTTACATATCATCCTTCCTCAGTCCTCACCTTGTCACTGGGTAAGCCTTTGGAAAAGTCAGTGACATCGCTGAAGTCGGGCGGGGGGCTTTTTCTTTTGTAAAACTTGAATACTTTTTTAAATGCGTCTTCTCCACGCACCACAGAGGAGGCTGCCATCTTGGCTGTGACGTAGATGAACTTTCACCTCAGACGTCACTTACGGAGCTTTCCGACAGAAACAACATGGCGGCGCCCTCTAAGAAAGTGTTCGAGCTCTTCGTGTCTAAAATACCATGGAGCCTAGCTGGCAGTAAGCATATTCAATTTGTCTAATAATTATACATGAGTAGTCGTAGATAGTTATGCATGTGTAGCCACTCACGTGACTCCGAACATGGTTCTATATAGTGATGGCGAGATGAAGCCTTATGAAGCTTTGAAGCTTTGAAGCTTTCCAGCCAATTGGTTCGCAAAAGGGTTCATCTCTTCATCATGGGCTTCATTTGAACACAAACCCCCTGTTGGTCAAAGTGTGTAAAACAGGCAGATTGGACATCTCAACAGTGTGCTTTATCTCATACCGAGTTCCCAATGAGTAAAGCCTTAGAATAACTCTAAACAACGAACATTAAATCATATGTTCATGTTAACAATATTGTTTTTATTCCAGTTGAATTATTGTGATTGAAAAGCCTAAGGAGGCTCGTAAACATTGCAAAGAGGTATTTGTATTCCTTAATAATATTCATAAACTTAACCATGTTGTAGCCTGAGAAAGGCTAAACCATATCAAAGACTACATTTATTAACTACATTATCTCATTTAGCTGTAGCTTTTATAAACAACAAAAAATATGTATTGTTCAGTCGTTGAACCAGGGACCCTGCGGTCGTGAGTCAACTGCTTTCCAGCTGAGCTACAGCACACACGCTGAAACTCCCTGAAAACACTACACCATATTTATTCATTTATTTATTCATGTTTTTATTCCTACATTTATTTATGCTTATATCTATTTATACTTATGACATGTTTCGACCTCTATATAAGTGAGGGTCTGAGTTCTTTTAATTCCATCGTGTCACCACCGGGCCCTGGTACAGAAGGGGTGATATGGTTCTTATTATACATCCATGGGTATTATGAGCGTTGTGGTTCAACGGTTCAACCTGAATCGCTTCCTGAAGCAGTCACGTGGTATCGACAGGCAGCGAGGCTTCGTTTGTCATCGATGACGTCACTGGCCCAAAACGATACAAGCCTCGATACATGCTTCACAAAAAGCTTCGGGGATTACTCGACACACGCTCCGAAGCCTCGGCACAATACGTAACATCACTAGTTCTATACTGTGGTTTGGTGAGGCTAGCAGACAGCATGGGCTCCATCATGCTAACACCAGGACCTGTCTGCAGTCCAAGCTTGGCTTTTTCATGCTATTGGCATCTTATCAAATCAAATCAAATCAAATCAAGGTTTATTTATAAAGCACATTTAAAAGCGATTTTTGGTCGGGCCAAAGTGCTGTACATGTAATAACTACAATCACATAAAAACACATTTCTATAATCACAATAAAAGACAATAAATTACAACAGATATTTAAAAAAAAAAAAAAACACAGGGAAAAGTCAGGAATCGTGCTCCGCTCTGACTAAAAGGCCAGGGAGAAGAAGTGTGTCTTAAGAGTAGATTTAAAAACCCCTAGGGTCTGGGCCGACCTCACATGGAGGGGCAGAGTGTTCCAGAGCCTCGGGCCAGCTGCTGCGAAGGCTCGGTGCCCTCGGGTTTTGAGCCTGGTCTTGGGCACTATCAGCAACAGCTGGTCAGCAGACCTTAAAGCTCTTGTTGGGGTGTAGCGATGGAGGAGTTCGGCTATATAGGCTGGAGCCAGCCCATTTAGTGCTTTAAAAACAAATAAAAGGAGTTTAAAATCAATTCGGAACCGAATTGGAAGCCAGTGCAGTGAGGCCAGAATTGGGATGATGTGGTCGCGCTTTTTGTGGCCAGTGAGTAGACGTGCAGCTGCGTTCTGGACTAGCTGCAGGCGTTTAATTGACGCCTGGTCCATACCCACGTACAGAGCGTTGCAGTAGTCCAACCTCGAGGTAACAAAGGCATTAATAACCCTTTCCAGGTCCTCAAACGATAAAAACGACTTGGTCTTGGCCAATAGTCGTATTTAAAAAAAGCAGGTTTTGACTACGCTGCTGACCTGCTTATCGAATTTAAAAGCGCTATTGAAGGTCACTCCAAGGTTCGTGACAGAGGGGAGGATATTATTTTTGAGGGAGCCCAGAATATCAACCTGGGAGGCTAGAGGTTGGGGTCCAAAAAAGATAACCTCAGTCTTGCTCTCATTGAGGTTGAGGAAATTTTGGCTCAGCCAGGATTTGATCTCTGCTAAGCAGTCCATCAATAGCTGTAATGAGTTTACATTTGAATTGAGTGGCAGATAGATCTGTACATCGTCGGCGTAGCAGTGGAAGGGGATGTTGTGTTTTGTGAGAATTGAACCTAGGGGCAGTATGTACAGTAGAAAAAGGATGGGGCCCAAAATCGAGCCTTGGGGAACCCCACAAGTAAGAGGGGCTTTAGCAGAGGAGAAGGCACCTAGCTGTACCGAGAAGCTACGGTCTGTCAGGTAGGACCTGAACCATGCAAGGGCAGAGCCTGTGATGCCAGCGGACTGTTCAAGCCGTGACAACAGGATGCTATGGTCCACAGTGTCAAAGGCAGCTGTCAGGTCTAACAGCACCAGGACAGCTGGGCTACCTGAGTCGGCGGCTAGGAGCAGATCATTAAAAACTCTTAAAAGGGCTGTTTCAGTGCTGTGCATGGGTTTGAAGCCAGACTGGAACTTTTCATGGATTCCATGCATGGTTAAAAAAGACTGCAGCTGGGCGTAGACTACTCGCTCCAGGGCTTTTGATAAAAAAGGTAGCTGGGAGATGGGCCTAAAATTTGCGAGAATGGAGGGGTCGAGATTTTTCTTTTTAAGTAGTGGCTTAACCACGGCATGTTTGAAGGCAGCTGGGACACATCCTGAGCTAAGAGAGGTGTTTATAAGTAATAAAATACTTGCTCCAACTGATCCTAAAACATCTCTGAGAAGGCGAGAGGGAATGCTGTCTGAGCAGGTGCTTGACTACATCCGAGAGAGAAGAGAGGGATACAGGCTCAAACTGGTCTTATAAAACAGTCATGCAGTTTACCAGAGAGGGGAGAAGAACTCATATTTTGCACTTGAGTAAAAGTAGAATTACCAGAGAGAAGGAATACTCTGTTACAGTAAAAGTCCTGCATTCAAAATGTTACTCAAGTAAAGCACAAAAGTATTATCATCAAAATATCCTTTAAGTACCAAAAGTAAAAGTAGTAATTGTGCAGATTGGTCAATTTCAGAATAATATATATGATATGTTTTTTAATTATTGATCATTAAAGTGTTATCAAAGCTGGTAAAGGTGCAGCTAATTTTAATGACTTTGTATACTGCAGGTAGCTTGTGAATTTACTCCAGGTGGAACTAAAGTCTGATTTAACACTTGATTATATTTCACATCATTCATCCAAATCTGTAAAGTAGCTAAATGTATTATCAGGGATGCAAACACACGTATGGTGAAAAAAGAGAGAACTATTCCAAGCAGAAAAAAAACAGCGTAATATACCATCTGACAAAGGCCTGTGCTATAATGCTTCAATGAACTGGCTATTCTTTATAATATACTCATATCAATAGGAGACAGAGATGTTAAGTTATAAATCAAGGTTTTTTTAATTATTATTTACACCAGGGGTGGGGAACCTTTTTCCTCTCAAGGGCCATTTCAATTTTTACAACATCCTCCGAGGGCCGTACAAATTATTGAACTCAACCTCTGCTTAAAAAAACTAAAATCACAGCCCATTCATTTCGCCTTTCTTTCGTGCTGTGCAAAGAAAAAGCAACCTCTTAAACAGATCGCCACTGGGCTTACAACTAAAGACACAGCCACGCAAAAACTGTGGCATGTGTACGGCTCCTTATGGGTACTGCAATATTTGAAGTGCTGGAGCGGGGTTCCGGTGCTCTCCGTCAGCACTACACCACGTGATGACACGTTACGCTCGTGTTGTGTTCAAGGAACCTGTCCTTGGCCAGGAAAAACAGGCACTCGCTTGTTTAATTATTTTGCAGTCTAGATTCCTTAAAGGTCCCATGTCATGGTCATTTCTACTGATCATAATTCCATTGTTGAGGTATACTAAAATAGATTTATATTGTGCAATTTTCCAAACTCACATTGGTTTCTCATACAACATCTCTGTAAAGTATGTGTATTCACCGGTATTCACTCTCTGTCCTAAACGGCTTGTTGGAGCTCCTGCCCCCCCCCTCCCTGTGAGCCCAGTGTGCTCCGATTGGTCAGCTCGGCCACTCTGTTCTGATTAGTCAACCACTAGAGAGGCTCCGCCCATGTCTAACACAGTGCTTTTTTCGGCCCTGAGCGGAACATCAACAATGATATGTTATAGGAGCAAATCATTCAGGGAAGAAAGGCTACTAAGTATTTCCATCAAACTTTATTTTTAGAAATGTACAAAATGAACATGTGTAAATATACATATATACACTGTATATCATCCATTCCTCCCCTTATAGGCGTTTTCGGCATCTTGCCTATCGCAGCTTTGTAAGCTGGTGCTGGGGCTTTTTAGGACGAGGCATCAGAGTGGTCATCCCGTCATGTGTTGTCCGCCGGATACGCCAGGAGTTTCCTGATCTGGCTGGACGAAATCAAATGCAAATCACAAAATATTAGAGAAACTTAGTTGTTTTAGGTTTGTTAGCTTGCCAGCTAGATTAATATGCTAACCTACGTTCGCTAGTTGTTCAGTGTAATATGCCAACCTACTATGAACAACAGCTAGTGGTTCATATTAGGCTAGCAAGAACATGTTTACAATTGCAATCTTATACGGGTAGTCTGCTACGTTCAGTCATTCATTGTAGCTGGCATAAAAACAATGTTTTCCCTAGCAAACTCATGTCTAGCTCTTGGTAGCCTTCTTTTTTAGCTCGGTAGCATACACGCTAGGAACGCCAACTATAATGTAATTAAGTTTCGCGACTGACCGTACGGTAAATCACCCGGAGTATACTGTCTTAGAGTATTTTGTGTGTGAATGCAGACATTCTCCTGCTAT